GCTCTGGGGATGGGGCCCAGGCCCTGCTGCTTGGTTCTGCGGGGCTGATCTCTCTCTGGGGTGGGAGAGACCACACTGTTACCTCCATTCCTGTCCCCCCCCCCCCAGTCCCCAGCTCACAGGCAGCAGGTGGGCATCAGGTCTACAGGCTCAGGGCCAGGGTGGTCCCCACAGGCCCCCAGCTAAAGGAGAAAGTCAGAAGGGAGTCACTGCCAGGTGGAGGCCCAGAGGCCTCCCTGCCCCCATGGGGTACACTCCCCACTCCTTTGCACAGGGGGCAGTCTTGGGAGACCTGGGAGGAAAGATGGAGGGGGGTGGAGGTAACCAGAACCATCAGCTTCCCCTAGGTCCTGGATGGGTGTGGAGGTCTTTACCTCCTCTCTCCACTCCCAGCCTCCAGCCCTGACAGGAGACCCTTCCAGATCAAAGGGCCTGGGGGGAAAGGGGGGCCCTCCATGGCTGCCTGCCCCTCCCCCCACCACAGCGCCGGATGTGGCTGCGGGAGGGGCGGGCGCAGGGCCCAGCTGGCAGTGGTCACTCGGTGGTCCTCTTCTTGTCGAGCCAGCGCTTTCTGTGCCAGTCCACCCGCCGGCCTCCTCCTCAGCCCTGCCTCCCGCCTCCTTCCCAGAGGCAGCATTCATCCCAAGTCAGCATGAATTCCCATGGCGGTCCACCCTCAGCTGCCCCGCCCAGGTGGCCCAGACCTGTCTCAGCAGCAGGACACCCAGCGAGGGGGGGGGGGGGTTCCTGTGTCCCTTCCACGGAGCTTTGGGAAATCCTGACCCACGGTTGGCTTTCTGATCCTTGATGAAGCAGAGGGCGTCCCACAGATGCTGTCTAGTGCCCGCAACTCCCACGGGTTTCCCAGAATTCCAAGTTCCACAGAGTCACAGGAGGCTGGCTAGCTGCTCCATGGGAGACCACGGAGCCAGCACACAGTAGGGACTTTCAACAGAGTCCTGTACTAAGCCAGGCACCAGTGGCTCAGGCCTGTCATCCTAGCCCCTCAGGAGGAGGCTGAGATCCAAGGATCATGGTTCAAGGCCAGACTGGGAAGACAAAAATGTAAGCAACTCTTATTTCCAAACGCAGGAAGTGGAGACGTGGCTCAAGTGGTACAGCACTAACATAAACAGTTCAGAGACAGCATCCAGGCCCTGAGTCCAAGAGCTAGGACTGGACACACTGGCACACAGACATATATAGACACACACATGCACACACACACACATATACACACCCAGAGGACTTTTGTAACCAAACTGGTCTGCCTGTGTCGCCAGCGCTGCAAGGGTCCCCTGAGATTAGGTCCTCCCGCCAGGAACTGGCAATAAGCCTGAACCACATGCTTAAGTCTGAAAAATGTGGAAGGGAGTCCCAGTCTGTAGAAAGAGCTGGAAAGGAGCCCAGGGAGCCCAAGCCCTCATTTGACCCACGCTCTGTACCCTCCACTGCCTGCTCAGGTCCCATCTAGGAGTGGCAGGGTAGCTCCTGGCAGGCAAGGCCCCCTCTGAACGTGGAGGGGCCCGGGCAAGCAGCCCTCCTGGGCTCTCAGAGTTGCTGGAAGCCACAGCTGGGTCACCAGGAGAGAGGAGGGGAGAAGAAGGCAAAAGACAGGAAAAGATGGAGAAAATAAAGACAAAAATCAGAAAAGGAGGCGGGTGCTGATGGCTCAGGCTTATCATCCCAGCTACTCAGGAGGCTGAGATCTGAGGACTGAGGTTCAAAACCAGCCTAGGCAGGAAAGATCCTGAGATTCTTTTTTGCTGTTGTTAGTCATGGGCTTGAACGCTGGTCCTGGGTGCCGTCTCTGAGCTCTTCAGCTCAAGGCAAGGGCTCTACCACTTGAGCCACAGCACCACTTCAAGTTTTCTGGTGGTTCATTAGAGTTAAGAGTCTCACGGACTTTCCTGCCCAGGCATGAGATTCTTATTGCAAATGAACTAGCAAAAAGTTGTAAGTGGGGCTGTGGCTCAAGTAGTAGAGTGCCAGCTTTGAGCAAAAGAAAAAGGCAAGTGAGTGTGAAACCCTGAGTTCAAATCCCAGTAGCACTGCACACACACACACACATACACAAAGGGAAACTGGACGGGGGCATGGCTCAAGTGGTAATGACTACCTCACAAGCATAAGACTCCAAGTTCAAATCTCACTACCACTCACACAACAGCAAGAAGGAACAGGAAAAAACAACAACAATGGGGTGAGGGGAATACCCTTCAAAGAGATTAAACCCCCTCCTTTCTCTCAATTCAAGAGGAAAGGAAGAAAACAGTGACCACATGTCTGGCGCCATTCTTGAAGCTTCATAATCCCCTGGCTTCATTTCCCCAGAATCGGCCACAAGAAAGGGAGTACTTCCCACCCCCCACTTCAGAGACTGGACCCTCAAGTTTCCAGGGGCAATACAGCTCTCTTGGGGAGTGCCCCCTGGCTCAAGCCATCTTGGGGACCCCAGAGCTCTGGCTTGGTCAGGGAGACTTGCCCCCCCCCGCCCCCCCACTGTGGGAGAGGCCGGGGCTCTGTTCATATTATTCAGAGTCTAACAGGAAACGACTCTTTTGACTCACTCGGATTCGACCTTATTAAGAAAAAGAAAAAAAGGAGCCGGAGCCAGCTCGGGGTAGGGTTTCACGCCAAGAGCTGGCTCAGAGCAGAGCAGCAGGGAGTGGGGGGGGGGTTGCTGGTGCCCGGATCTCCCCCCACCCCCAAATCCTGAAACAGGGGCGGAGCTGGAGGACACTCTCCTCTCCTCTTCTCCACGTTTGGGTAAAGGGTTCTCAGTCCTCACAGCCATCCTGGCCTTCTTTCTCCTCCTTTTCCTCCTCCTCCATACCCAGGGCCCCCCCCCCCCCCCCCCCCCCCCCGCAGGCCTGTTTCCACTCCTTTGTTGCCCATGTGGCTGGCAAAGGGGCCCTACAGGACCCCAGGGATGCTGAGCAGCTGAGGCCAACTGTGCAGGGGGCAGGCGGAAGAGAAGCCAGACTTCACCCTGTGGGGGTTCCAGTGCTCACTTCCCAGCGGGGCTCCGGGAGCCAAGCCCGGGCATCTGGTACAGTGTCCTGGGCCAAATCAGTCACTCCTTGTGAGAAACTGAGATCAGACCCCACCCTGGGAGCAAAGGTGCCAGGACGGTGTAGGAACCTCCACTCTCCCCCACATCCCTGGCTGGATTATGAGAATCAAATGCCTCATGTCCTGAATAAAGCCTAAAGTCTTGACAAACAGGGGCAGAGGCAAATAAAAGCAGCCTAGCCAGGCTGGCCAGCGGGAAGGGGGTATGCCTCCATTCCCCCCACCCCCCCAGGAGTGTTCCTATAGCTACCTGCTCCCAGGTGGCCTCCAGGAGCTCCCCAAACCCAAGGAGAACCCATGAGAGACCAAGCAAAAGACAGGTTTTTGTTTTTGTATTTTTCGGTTGTGGGGCTTGAATTCATGGTCTGGATGCTGTCCCTGAGCTCTTTTGCTCAAGGTTAGTGCTCTACCACTTTGAGCCACAGCACCACTTTCAGTTTTCTGGTATTTAGTTGGAGATAAGAGTCCCATGGACTTTCTGTGGCATCAAACTGAGATCCTTAGATCTCAGCCTCCTGAGTAGCTAGGATTATAGGCGTGAGCCATGAGTGCCCCGCTAGGACAGGTTCTTTTTACCCTGTTCATTGGCTAAAAAAGGAGGAAATTTCTGCCTAACTCAGGCCTGTAATCCTAGCTACTCAAGAGGCTGAGATCTAAGGATCACAGTTTGAAGACAGCTCAAGCAGGAAAGTCCATGAGACTCTTATCTCCAATGAACCAGCAAAAGATTAGAAGTGGAGTTGTGGCTCACGTGATAGAGCACCAGCCTTGTGGAAAGTCAGTGAAAGTGTGAATTCAAGGGAGGGAGAGGGAAGGGAGGAGGGGAGGAAGGGGAGGAGAAAGGAGGGGTGTGGATTTCTGGTCTCCAGATCACCCAGGAACAAAGATGGGAAAGGTAACCCAGGAGATACCAGTATTCAGTGTGGATTGTGGATTTCCTGGACACCAAAGAAAGAACGTGAACTTCAAGAACCTCTTCCCACCCCCTGCCACCCTCAGAAAGAATAGCCAATCTTTCTTGAAGGGATCATATAGACTAATTAATCCTCAACAGATCAGATCTGTAGCAACCCGCTCAGAGAACCCGCAACAGAAGCTCTGAGTCTACCTTCTGCTGATCGTATGTAGATAAGCCTCTGCTTTATGATGGCCCAACACATCCTACAGACAGAGAGGAAGGTCCAGAGGTGTGCTAAGGGTGGAGGAGGGGGGGGTGCAAGGCTGACCCTCAGGATCTTTTATCTTCAGGTTTAAGAGTCGGGGTGCACCTGAGACTCAGGATTAGAGTCTCTTAGCACTGGCTTTTGAAAATCAGTGTGTGTGGGGTTGGGGGGGGGGGGGGAGATAGAGGAAGCCAGTAAGTGATGGATCATCTGGAGATGCTTGGGTCCAAGTCAGACAGGCCCCTCCCCACCCCCAGGGTGGTGCCCAACCCCAATGGGGGGCTTCAGTCCGGAGATTCCCCCCTCCCTCTCCTGACCAGGCCTTGGTTTCCCCGCTGCGCCCTGCCCCTGGCTGGGCAGATGGCCGGGGGGGGGGACGGCCCGGGGCCGCATAGCTGAAACCCGACGGGCCGTAGGGCCCCGCGGAGGCAGCCGGGCCGGCCGCCGGCCGGGGGGCCCTGAGGACTGTGCAGCCCGGAGAGCTCCGTTCATTCGTTCCTTCGTCCCGGGCTGGGGGTTCGGGGCTGGCCCTGGGAGGTCTCCCCCCCCCCCAGTCCCCCGCCCCTCGGGCCCCGGGCGCCGCCCCTGCCCTGCCCTGCCCCCTCCGGCCCGGCGATGCTGTCATCCGCGGAGCCGTCGGGTCGAGGCCAGCATGGACAGAGCTAGAGCCGGGGCAGGCCAGGCAGCCGTCCCGTGCTCGAGGCCGCGGGAGGAGCAGCGCGGAGCGGGGGCCGAGCCGCGGGGCCGCGCGCAGCGGCCGCCATGGCGCTGCGGGCCCTGGTGTGCGGCGTCTGCCTGTGCGCCCTGGCGCGGGCGCGGCCGGGCCCCGAGCCCCCGGTTCCCGATCCCGACCCCGGGCGCTGGCGGCAGCTGATCCGCTGGGAGAACAACGGGCGGGTGTACAGCCTGCTCAACTCGGGCGCCGAGTACGTGCCGGCCGGGGCCAGCCCGCGGGTGCTGCTGGCCGCCCCGGCTCCCGCCCCGACCCCGCCGCGCCGCAGCCCCGGCGGCCCCCGCCGACGCCAGGCCCCGGCTCTGCCCCTGCCGGGCCGCGCGGCCTCCGACACCGTGCGCGGCCAGGCGCGGCACCCGTTCGGCTTCGGCCAGGTGCCGGATAACTGGCGCGAGGTGGCCGTCGGGGACGGCTCGGGGCTGGCCCGCGCGCGCACCGCCGTCTCCCCGTCCTCCTCGGCGGCCTCGGCCTCGGCCTTCGCCTCCACCTTCCTCCGCCCGGCGCCGCCCTACGCGCCGCAGGCCGCCCCCTACCAGCGCGCGCCCTACGTCGGCCACTACGAGCACTACGACCCCGCGGCGCGGGCCTACGAGCGCGGCTTCGTCTACTACCGCGGCGCGGGCGGCGGCGCGGGCGCGGCGGCCGTGGCCTCGGCCTCGGCGGGCGTCGTCTACCCGGGGCCGCCGCGGCCGCGTTACGAGGACTTCGGCGGGGAGGAGCAGCCCGAGTTCCGCCCGGGCCCCGAGCGGCCCTACGCGCCGCCGCCGTCGGACGGCCTGGACCGCCGGTTCGCGCACAGCCTGTACAGCGAGCGCGCGGTGGGCGCGGACGCGGCCTTCCCGGACGCGGCCTTCCCCGACGCGGCCTTCCCGGACCCGGGCTCCCCGGATGCCGGCGGCGGCGGCGACCCCCGGCTCGGCTGGTTCCCGCCCTTCGTCCCCGCGGCCCCCGAGGCCTACGCCGAGCCGCCCCCGGCCCGCGCGCCCGAGCCCCCGTACCTGCCGGTGCGCAGCGCCCCCGACGCCGACCGCGGCCGCCTCAGCGTGGGGAGCGTCTACCGCCCCGCCCCGAACGGGGGTCGAGGTGAGTCCCGACCGCCCCCCTCAGCTGCGGGATAGAGGCGGGAAGAACCGGCCAGGTTGGAGAAGGAAGGCAGCCTTCACCCCTGAATGATGCCCATTCCCGGGAGGGGGGCCCGGAGGGCGTGGGGGGGGCGTCCCCCTCACCTGGCACAGGTGAGCACCGGGCTGGGAGGATGACGTCATCCCAGGGCAGTTCCCCCCCCCATAAACACCCCCCCCCCCCAGGCTGGGCCTGGAGACCCTGAGACCCTGGTACCATGGCCTAGCCACAAAGTATGAGGGGAGAAAGTGCAGAAAAAGCCAGGGAGAGAATGTCCCTAGGCATTAAAAAAACAACAAGCAAACAAACCTAAAATGCCAAAGAAGATCTTCACTCTATCTGCATCTCACATAGTCAGACCACAGGTAAATTGGGAAAAAAAATCAGTGTAGTCTCCCCATTCCCCTGTCCTTCCTTCTCTTTTCCTCTCTCCCTTTCTCTTTTCCTTCCTGCCTCCCTCTCTTCCTTTTCCTTCCTCCTTCCCTTTTTCCTTCCCTTTCCCTTCCCTTCCTCTCTCTTTCCTTTCTTTTGTATGTGTGTGTGTGTGTCCCTACTAGGACTTGAGCTCTGAGTCTGGGTGCTGTCCCTTGGCTTTCTCACTCACAGCTAGTGTTCTAACACTCAAGCCACAACTCTCCTTCCAGCTCTTTGTTGCTTACTTGGAAGTAAGCATCTCACAGACCTTCCTGCTCAGACTGGCTTTGAACTTGGATCCTCGTATCTCAGCCTTCTAAGTAGCTAGGATTACAAGAGGGAGCCAGCAACCTCCAGCATTCATATAATCCCTTTCTTCATTTGAAGGTTGAATACTGGAACATTTGTTCATCCTAGGCTTTGTTTTTGTGTTTGCATTGATTTTTAGAAATATTACCTTAAATATTACTCATTCTGATTCCCGAGTCCCCCCCCCCCCCCCCCCAGCTGGCCTCACTGAGTCCTGGCCTACCTGCAGCCTCTCAGGGAGTATAGTTGTGACCTGCTTTGGGAAGGCACAGGAGGCCTGGGGGTGGGGGGGCTTTGTCTGTGAGAAGGCTTCCACATGAGCCTTCAACACCACAGTGGCCGGCTGTGGGTCTCTCCAGGGCTGCACGCTAGAAGCCTGTCCTCTCCTGTCCCAGAATCCCACGCCCTGCATCCCTGCACTCTCCCTACAGTGAGCTCCGCCACCCCATTCAGACTGCTGCTGCTGCCCTCTGCCCCCCATGCTCACTCCCCGCTCTTTATCTCCAGTTAACCACCCAAAAACACTGGAAGCAGAGCTGTGAACCAAGTGGCAAAGTGCTTATCGTGAGTGAACAAGCCAGGCCCTAAGTTGAAGCTCCCGTGGTAGAACTAGAAAGAAGGGGTGGTGAGAGGGAGGGAGAGAGGGAGGGAGGGAAAGAGAGAGAGGATGTTTTCCCCGTGGAGTCCTTCACTTGTGGCAGATTTTCTTAGAATGCGAGACCTCAGTGTGGGGCTCAGCCAGCAGGGCCCCACCCTGGGCAGAGGAGAAAACCAAAGCCTCAAATGCCACAGTGCTGGCAAAGCCTGGCCTGGGACTGTGTGTCTGGGCTCCCTGCCAGCGGGTTTTCAGGGCCCCTCTTGTGGCCTGTGAGTTCTCAAGGCAGACGGTTGGCTCAGGAGGCTGGAGCGGCTCGAGGCTGTGTCTGCAAGGGGGTGCTTGGTGCTCGGTCAGTACAGACTCTGGCTGTGTCCCCAGAACGTTACAGTTCATTTTGGGTCAGAGATGTTTCTCTAATTGGGTGTGGTGGTGAATACATGCCGGTCATCCCAACACTTGGGACATGGAGGCAGAAGGAGCTCAAGTTTGAGGCCAGCCTGGGCTAGAGTGAATCTGAGGCTATGTATAATAGAAACATACATGTATCTAGTATATATTTAATATATATGTAGTATTACACACATACACATATTTCCTGAAGGCAGAACTCAACAGATTCATCCAGGCTCTGCCCCACCAATGGGGTAGGAAGCACCTAGATGCTCTCAGGATAGAGCAGGGTCCTCCCCAATCAGAGGCTGGTCCCAGGGAGGCCTCCCTGGAGGAGGAGGTGTCCAAGTCCAGCCTCGAGAGTTGTGCATCCTCCCAGTGTGTCCCCGGTTGTGAAGGGAATGGATATGAGGTAGGGGTGGCCTTGGTCTGGGCTCACAGAGAGCCCAGACAGGGAGCTCAGTTGGGGTCATGGAAAAATCCCAGCTTGGGGAGGTCCAGGGCCCCCAGGCCTGGTGTGGGAGCTGGGGATGGATTCTCAGAGTCTGACCTCACTCCTCGCTGCCGCACACCCCGGGGTCTGAGGCCGGTGCTGGCAGCCCGCTGCCCTGTGTAGGCGTGGGTATGTCCTGGCAACACTGAACACATGTGAGCACCACCCACTGGTCCCTGCGTGCCTGTCCCGAGCCCCCACTCCCTCTTGGTGTCTTCTCTCTTCCCTATGAGTCCGGGACCACCCAGAGCTGCCTGTAGTACTATCAGGGAGCTGGGCACAGACTCCCAGAAAAGGGGCAGCATCCTGCGTCCAGCTCTTACAATAGATCTTTCCAGATAGTTTCTAGGGGTGGCCGGCCTCCAGGTCTGAGCCAGCTCCCATGTGACCCCCTTCCAATACTGCCACCAGGTCCTCCTCTTCCTGCAGCCCCCTCGCCTTCCCTGTGCTGGGGAGGAGGGTCCCAGAAGACCACAGTTTTCCTCCCAGGCTCTCTCTCTTCTACCCCAAGCCTGACTCGATGACTGGTGAGTGTAAGAAAGGACCTTGGAGCGGCCGTCCTGGCCATCCTTCCCTGCGGTTGAGCCAGCCTTGCCTGGCTTGTGTCAGCCATCCCTGTCCTGGGGGGGGAGGAGGGAAACAGAGGCCAGGAGAGCGCAGCCTGCTCCCTTTACCTGGTGCTCCCTCCATTCTCCACAATAGGCAGATCAACCCATGTAGCACTAAGCAGATTCCACCCCCACCCCCATCCCTGCACTGAAAGCTTCCTTGGTTCCCAGGGCCTTGAAGACAAGAGCTCCACCTCAGCCTAGAACTCTTAGGTCTCCATGGGGACTGTAGAACTCCTCAGCTAACCGATCCTGTCCCCTTATCCACATCTAAGGGGACCAGCCTGAGAGCAGCCTGGGCACTATAGGGGTACTGTCTAGCTCACGTCTACCTGCAGCCAGGTTGCCAGGCCCTTGGGGTCACTTTCCCTTTTGCACAGGGCTTGGGGTAGCTGCCTACAGCCCCAAAGAGGCAGAGTAGCAGCCCAAGCCATTTGCTGATCACCCAGGTAGCCTAAGAACTTCAACTTTGCTCACTGCCAGTGCTCATGCCTGCCATCCCAGCTACTCAGGAGGCTGAGATCTGAGGATCACAGTTCGAAGCCAGCCCAGGCAGAAAAGTCCACGAAGTGGTAGAGGTGTGGCTGAAGTGGTAGAGCACCAGCCTTGAGTGGAAAAGCAAAAGGACAGCAGCCAGGCCCTGAGTTCCAGCCCCAGGATTGGTACACATGCGTGTGCACGTGCATACATGCATGTACACGCAACACACACACATACACAGAAACCCCCAGGCACAAAGGCTTGGATCCTTTGGAAGCAAGGAGGAGGCGGAGGTCCCTTCCAGCAGCTGACCCACACCTGCTTCCAATTCCTGGGCCCAGCATTCCTGCCCAGCAGAGCCCAGCCGCAGCCTGGGTGGGGGCGGGAAGGGGCTCAGGCTGGGTCCCCTCCCCCTGGCCCTGGCCTGCCGCCCGCCCCAGCTGCCGGACCAAGAGGCTTTCTATGTGGTTCTGTGACAGAGGGTTGGGCCTGGTCCCCTCCTTTGCAGATGGGTCCCCCAGAAACCAGGTGTTTTACCATCACCTAGTCCTGGAGTCCAGGATGCTAGAGCAAAAGGGAATGCAGACTGGGTGGCGATCAAACCTTGGGAGATGGCCCACTGGTCCCCTGTTCCAAGGATGCCTGGAGCCATGGGCTTGCCAGACCCAAAGCGAGTTGCCTTTCCAAAGAAAGGGCTCACACCTGTCCTCCTAGCTACTCAGGAGGCTGAGACTTGAGGATTGACGTTCAAAGCCAGCCCAGGCAGGAAAGTCGGAGACTCTTATCTCCAGTGAACCACCAAAAAGATGAAAGTGGAGCTGTGGCTCAAGTGGTAGAGCACCAGCCTTGAGCACAAAAGTTCAGGGATTGCACCGGGGCCCTGAGTTCAAGCCCCAGGACCAGCACCCACCCAGAGTAAAACAAAAAGCCAAATGGGTGTGTGGCGGGGGTGGCTTTGAGAATGTCACCCAGCTCTGCCTGGAAATGCAAGGTGGCTTTTGCAGATCCCACGGCCGTCCTCACCTGCCCGCTGAGGACACACAGGTGCGGGCCCCGAGGCGGGGGCCGGAAGTTGAAAGCATCCCTAACCCATCTCCACGGAGGGGAGGTCTCAGCACGCCAGCAAGCACCCAGCTTCTGGGTCCACACTCCTCATCCTACCCAGCTTCTGTGGTCCCACTGAGACAAACCACTGAAGGCCTGGGCTCACCCCTGTCAGTAGCGGGGAGTCAGAGGAGGTTCTAGGCCTGCCGCTTACAGCCATCACCACCCACTTTCCTGAGCTGGTAGATTCTGCAGGCTTCCTGCAGCTGTAACACTCCTGAGCTGTGCTGACAGCTTAATCTTCTGATTATTAGGTGATCCTTTCATGGGGTTTGGAGCCAGGTGAGCCTTGGAGGGGGCTGTGTTTCCCACCCCCCACCCCCACCTAGGGGGCTGCTGGAGTGGGTGGGGGGGGTCTGGTGGAAGAAGTTTGGCATTGCCAAAACCTCATTCTCAGCACATAGCTGACAAAGGACAGATGGCTTCCTGCCAGGCTCTGTTTATGCCCCAGCCCCCCCGCTGGCTTGAGAGACTGGGGCTCCACATTCCTTGTCCCTTGGAGCTGGAAGACAGACAGCAGGGGTTGATTGGACCCACCAGGAGAGAGAGGAAGCGCAGGGGTGACAGGTGAGGGGCAGGCAGCCACAGGAATGTGGACACGGCCCCCTCCCCTGGCCAGGAGGGAACAGACTGCTAATGAAGCAGGAAGGACTTGGGTCAGACCGTGGGAGCATTTCCTGATTGCTGAAATGTGGAGCTGGCCAGGTCAGCAAAGGTCGCAGGCTCTTGGCCAAGGATCGGAAATGCAGCGAATGTTTTCATAGCCAAGTGTTTAGGGATCCATTCCACCTGGGCTCACACACCAGCTACCACTCCAAGCTCCTTATGCTGACAGGGAACCTGAGTTTCAGAAAGGGGAAGGCAAAGGCCGGGCGCTGGGGGCTCACGCCTGCCTTCTAAGCGACTCAGAAGGCTGAGATCTGAGGATCGAGGTTCAAAGCCAGACAGGGAAAATCCATGAGGCACTGGACTCCCAATCAATCAGCAAAAAGCCAGGGGTCAGGGCTGAGGTCAGGGGCAGCAGGAGGACAGACCTAGGGTAATGCTCAGTCTTGTGCTGAACTGGGAATTGAGCTGAATTCAGTTGTATGCATTTATAAAAGCTGGAGTATCTAGAAGTTCTCCCTGGACTCTCTGTGTGTGTGTGTGTGTGTGTGTGTGTGTGTGTGTGTGTGTGTGTGTGTGTGTGTGTGTACACACACTAGGGCTTGAACTTAGAGCCTGGTTGCTGGCCCTTAGGTTTTTCACTCAAGGCTGGCGTTCTACCACTTGATCCACCCACATCTCCACTTCTGTCATTTTGCTGGTTAACTGGAGATGAGAGTCTCTCATGGACTTCCCTGCTTTGGCTGGCTTTGAACCTCAATCCTTAGAGCTCAGCCTCCTGAGTAGCTGGGATTGCAGGCATGTGCTAGCAGCACCAGGCTAGAACCCATGTGTGTGCCTCTAGTTCCAAAGCCCCGCTGGCCCTGGGTGACGATGGCCCCCCGGCGGGTGGATTCCACCAAGACCCAGGCAGGAGCCTCCTTGGCTGCGCACACTTGTTGGGATGGGCTGTGGCAGGCTGCTCTGAACTGACCCCCGACTAGTGTGAACCGACCTCATAAGCCAGTGCCTGCGGGCAGCCCCAGGCCCCTGCTCAGGGCTCCCCCGCCCCAGGCCTGCAGGCCTGGCTGCTGACCGAACGTCCCCCTGGGAACACAGCCCAGAGAAGGAGGCTGAGTTCTTTCCTGGAAAAACATACCAGCTGAGGGAGGGGGTGCCCGCAATCCTAGGGACCTCAGCAGGGGGCCCCGGGGGTGTCCTCGCCCTGCCTGAACCCCAGGGCCAGGCAGAGGTTTGTTTTTGTTTTATTTTTTTAAAGAAGGGTCAGGAAGCCCCCATAGTGGACAGAACAAATAATTATTGAATAATGGTAAGAATGAGTTCATGGAAGTACTAGAAACAGCATGACTAATCTCCAGTGTCTCCACAGTGCACTAGCACTGTCTGGGGGAGGGGGCCCTGTGGGGTGGGGTGGAGGAGGGCACCAAAGGAGAAGCATCCATGGACTTAGAGACCAGGCGGGGTCCCCAGCACTCAGCGTATGACCAGGGTCAAGGCACAGTGTTAGACCAGGGTGAGGGTTGTGTGTGTGTCAGGTTAGGACTCTTGTGTGTGACCGGGATCAGGGCCTAGTGTGTCACCAGGGTCAGGACTCTTTTGTGTGACTGGGATTAGAGCTCAGCGTCTGACAGATCAGGGCTCAGTGTGTGACCAGGATCAGGACTCTGTGTATGACTGGGATCAGGGCCCAGTGTGTCACTGGGGTCAGGGCTCTTTGTGTGATCAGAACTCACAGTGTGTCACTGGGGTCAGGGCTCCGTGTGTGTGTGACCAGGATCAGGGCTCATTATGTCACCGAGATCAGGGCCTAGTGTATCACCGAGGTCAAGGCTCAGTATGTGACCAGGATCAGGGCTCAGTGTGTGATTGGGATCAGGGCTCTAGGTCAGGACTGAGCCTAAGTGCATCACCACTGGCCTTCAGTGCCCCTGGCCTCTGGCTCTGGCTCTTCCAACTTCCTGGCTTGTGGCTTCAGCTTAGGAACTGGCCTGGAGAGGAGACATCAGGCCAGCAGAGCCAGCTGTACAGCCTTTATTGAAGCCTAGCCTGGGGGTCGAGGGGAGTAGACTGTCTGCTGCTGACCACTGCGTCCCATGAGATTAACCCCACCCCTTCCTATGGTGAAGACCCCTCCTCCAAGGGGTCTCAGGGAGCCAGAGGCAGGGGGGACCGGCTCCCAGCTGGCTTGAGGACCTGGGTGCCTGGGGAAATGAGAGCAGACATTCCTGGGGGCTCGAGTAATAGCTCTGGGCTGGCCAAGAAAGGGCCACCTCATCCTCACCCCCCCCCCCCGCCCCTGCTCCAAGCTTTCTCGGGGTTCCAGATAGGGGAGGAATAACCCTGCTGCCTGGCCCAGGCTCCCCAGGAAGAGGATTTCCCCGCCCCCCACTCCCCCAGCGCCCCAGGAGAAGGCCTGGCCCCAGAGAGAGCAGAGCAGTCTCTGGGCACCCCGGGGAATGTGTGGGTTCGAAGATCTGGAGGCCAGACCTCCCTTCCTCTGCCTCCTTGTCTGGCGCTTTAAGCTGAGGTCAGGGGTCAGGGGTTGGACTACAGGGGGAAACCCTTTCCTTTCCCCCCATTCCCAGTTTCACCCCCACCCCCCAAGAGCAGAGGGCTTCAAAGAAGTGGAAAAATCTTAGAAGCTCACTTCATTGACAGAATCCCCAAGAGAAAGGGATTTAGAGACCAAGCTCACTTTTCTTTTTTTTCCTTCTTTCCTTTGTTTTTTTTTTTGTCGGTTGTGGGGCTTGAACTCTGGGCCTGGGCGCTGTCCCTCAGCTCTTCAGCTCAAGGCGAGCGCTCTACCACTTGAGCTACAGCGCCACTTCCGGTTTTCTGGTGGTTTATTGGAGATAGAAGTCTCACGGTCTCTCCTGCCCGGGCTGGCTTTGAACTGCGATCCTCAGATCTCAGCCTCCTGAGTAGCTAGGATTACAGGCGTGAGCCACCAGCGCCCAGCTTTTCCTTTGTTTTGTTTTTTTTTTTTTTAAATTTTGGTTTGTTTTTTTTTGCCAGTCCTGGAGCTTGAACTCAGGGCCTTGGCACTGCCCCTGAACTTCTTTTGTACAAGTGGCTCTACCACTTGAGCCACAGCACCACTTGTGGCTTTTTCTGTGTATGTGGTTCAGAGGGATCAAACCCAGGGCTTCCTGCATGCTAGTCAAGCACTCTACCACTAAGCCCTCTTTCTTTCTTTTGTGCCAGTCCTGGGGTTTGAACTCAGGGGCCTGGGTGCTGTCCCTGAGCAATTTTTCTCAAGGCTAGTGCTCTACCACTTGAGCCATGGGCTCCATTCCCAGCTTTTTTGGAGGTTCATTGGGGATAAGAATCTCACAGATTTTTCCTGCCCTGGGCTGGCTTCAAACCCTGATCCGAAGATCTCAGCCTCTTCCTAAGTAGGTGGGATGACAGGTCTGGCCGCCGGTGCCCGGCTTCCCAAGTCAGGCTGAGAAGGGAGTACGGGGGTGCCCATGGCCTCCACTCCTGACCAGTATTCTTCACCCCACTGTGGGTGGGCGTCCGACACCTGCAGATACTTCTGCTCGTCCTGACTCCTGTGTGGCTGGGCAGGGGCGGGAGGAACCCAGCTCCTGAACACCTTCCTTCCCGACACCCACCTGGCCCACACCAGGCCAAGGCCTGGGGCTGTCCTGGTCTCGCCTTTCTAACTCCAGACTCTGCCCTGTCTGCCAGTGCTTGCTCACGTCCCGGCTCTGCCAAGAGGTCGCTAGGCCTCCACCCCACAGAGCGGTCCCGAGCCTGGGGCCCACCATCTGGGAGCCCAGCCAGGGTGGGGAAGGTGTGGGGTGTCCACCCAGCCTGGCCCAACTCCCTCGGTGCCATTGTTGTTTTGTTCCTCCGCGCAGGGCTCCCTGACTTAGTCCCGGACCCCAACTACGTGCAAGCGTCCACCTACGTGCAGAGGGCGCACCTGTACTCCCTGCGCTGCGCCGCCGAAGAGAAGTGTCTGGCCAGGTAAGGATCCAGGGGCGCCACCAGGGGACCCCCAGAAACAGCGCCTGTGCCAGCTGCACGGCCTGCACCCTGCCTGACCCCCCAGTTCACCGCTCAAGTCTCTGCCTCTCCCTGATAACACAAGTGGCGTGTGCTGTCTCCCTCCCCCCCTCCCCTCTCCCTCCTCCCCGCCGCGCAGAGGACTTGAAGCCACAGTCTGCAGCTCTGCTGACGTCCAGGTTGAAAGAATCTTATCTGGGGGGGGAGGGTGGGCAGTGAACTATTGGGAATTGAACTCAAGACCTTGCACTTGCTAGGCCAGTGCTCTACCATTTAAACCACACCTCTAGCCCAGCTTTTTTTTTCTTTGTCGGTCATGGGGCTTGAACTTTGGGCCTGGGTATTTTTCCCTGCACTCTTCAGCTCAAGGCAAGCGCTCTACTGCTTGAGCCACAGCACCACTTCCAGTTTTCTAGTGATTTATTGGAAGAGTCTCACGGCTTTGAACTGTGATCCTCATATCGCAGCCTCCTGAGTAGTTAGGATGACAGGTGTGAGCCACCGGTGCCCGGTGCAGCCCAGCTTTTTTATTGATGAGTTTTGGAGCTGGATTCTAATGAACTTTCCTGCCCTGGCTGGCCTCAGACCACAATCCTCCAGATCTCAGCCTCTTGAGTAGTTAGGATTACAGGTGTGAGCCACTAGTACCTGGCTGAAAGTAATTTTTTTTTCCTTAATTGCGTACTTAAAAAAAAAGTTTTGAGGGCTCAGAAGGTGGCTCAGTGGTAGAGCGCTTGCCTTGCATGCATAAGGCCCTGGGTTCAATTCTTTAGTGAACCACATTAGCAGAAAAAAGCTGGAAGTGGTGCTGTGGCTCAAGTGGTAGAGCGCTAGCCTTGAGCTGAAGAGCTGAGGGAGAGCACCCAGGCCCAGGTTCAAGCCCCATGACCAAAAAAAAAAAAAGTTTCAAATCTCTTTACTTTCACCTTTTTTTTTTTTTCTTTTTTTGGGCCAGCCCTGGGGCTTGAATACAGGGCCTGGGTACTGTCCCTGAGCCCTCCAGCTCAAGGCTAGAGCTCTACCACTTGAGCCACAGCACCACTTTCTGTTTTCTGGTGGTTCATTGGAGATAAGGGTCTCACGGACTTTCCTGCCCGGGCTGGCTTTGAACCGTGATCCTCAAATCTCAGCCTCCTGAGTAGCTAGGATGACAGGCATGAGCCACGGGTGCCTGGCTCAAAGCTCTTCTTTCCAGAGCACCCTGAGTCCCAGGCCGGTGAGGAGGAGGCCTCCTGCCCCCCCTTTCCTAGATCAGAACCGCCTGCTAGAGCCAGAAGGAGCAGCTCCTCATCCAGACCCCAGTGGCCAAACCAAGCAAGCAGGATGGGGGAGAGCCAGGATACATGGCTCCCGCGCCGGGGCTGAGTGAGGTCAAGGCGGGAGGGGTCTGCAGGGCCCAGGCATCTGGAGACTGGGCGTGGGGCTTGAGATGCAGGAAGCCCTGTCAAGCTGGAGCCCAACCATGAGAGGGGCCACAAGGATTTTCTCAAGCTCGGTCCCAGGCCCGGCTGGAGCCACACAAGTCACACACCACAGCCAGCCAGAGTCGATCGAGTACTGCAGGCCCAGGGGCCCGGTGGGGCTGGCATCTGCTCCCGATCTCCCTGTGAGCTTGCGGCCACGCACACAGCCTGCAGTGGGAATCTCACCATTTCCCACGAGGGCAGGGCAGGAGTTAATTGGAAGAAAGGAGGATCAGACGCAGACAGAGGTCAGGCCTCCCCCCCACGCCCGCCCCCAGACGAGGCCGAACATCCTGGCAGACAGACGTCTGAACCGCCTGCTGTCCAGACATACTCAGAGAAATCTAATCCCTTGTGTCTGCTGTGGCCTCACGGCCCAGACCTGAATGAGGCCAGCCAGGGCAGCTGCCACCCACTGCCTAGGGAACGGGGCCTCTGCCAGGCCTCCAGCCTGTGTCTCCTCTCCCTCTATCCTCCTCTCTCCTTCCTGTAAGGCCTGCCTCTGTGGGATCACGGGAGACATAGGTGAATGGTGGGCAGGTAATCGGCAGGAGACCCTAGGCTCCTGGAAGGAACAGGTAGATTGCTGGCCTGGAAGCCATGTCATCAGGGAGAGCTGGCCCGATCACCTGGGAGTAGTGAGGGCCACGCGGCACAGGAAAGTCGGGGGGATGGGAGGGGCATGTGCTCGGGGTCTCAGTGGAGCAATCTAGGCGGACTGCCTGGAGGAGGTGGCACATCATCAGGCCGCTGGAGAGTCACACAGCACAGGGTCCTGAGGGAATGGGGGGGGGCCCTGCCCGGGCAGGACATGATACAGCTGTGCTGAACCTCCTGGGTCACCCCGCAGCACCGCCTATGCCCCGGAGGCCACCGACTACGACCTGCGGGTGCTCCTGCGCTTCCCCCAGCGGGTGAAGAACCAGGGCTCGGCTGACTTCCTGCCCCACCGCCCACGCCACACCTGGGAGTGGCACAGCTGCCACCAGTGAGTGGCGGCCGGCCAGGGCCGCGGCCTGGGGCGGGGCGGGGCGGGGCGGGGCCGGCCAGGGCCGCGGCCTGGGGCGGGGCGGGGCCTCAGCCTGGGGCGGGGCGGGGCGGGGCCGGCTAGGGCCGCAGCCTGGGGCGGGGCCTCAGCCTGGGGCGGGGCGGGGCCTCAGCCTGGGGCGGGGCGGGGCCGGCCAGGGTCACAGCCTGGGGCGGGGCGGGGCGGGGCGGGGCCGGCCAGGGCCGCAGCCTGGGGCGGGGCGGGGCGGGGCGGGGCCGGCCAGGGCCTCAGCCTGGGGCGGGGCGGGGCCTCAGCCTGGGGCGGGGCGGGGCCTCAGCCTGGGGCGGGGCGGGGCCTCAGCCTGGGGCGGGGCGGGGCGGGGCCTGGTACGTGGGCCAGTGCAGGAGGGGAACAGGGTGAGAGGCCAGGAGAGCCCAGGCCTCGCCTCCCCTCCCCTCCCCTCCTCTCCTCTTCCCTTCCCTCCCCTCCCCGCAGACATTACCACAGCATGGACGAGTTCAGCCACTACGACCTCCTGGATGCAGCCACGGGCATGAAGGTGGCAGAGGGGCACAAGGCCAGCTTCTGCCTGGAGGACAGCACCTGCGACTTCGGGAACCTCAAGCGTTACGCATGCACGTCACACACGCAGGTGGGCACCGCCGGGCTCCATGGGCACGGAGCCAGTGACCACTCAGCTCCAGCGTGCCCAGGGCCACCACCAGGCCCGGAAGCTGTCCGCTTGTCCTTCAGTCTGTCCACGCAGCCACTTTGTCTTTTTTTGGTGCTGATCTTGGAGCTTGAACGCAGGGCCTGGGCGCTGTCCTGAGCTCTTTTATTCAAAGCCAGGGCTCTGCCATGTTAAAGCTACACTTCTGCTTGCGGTTTTCTGGGTGGTTCATTGGACATGAGAGTCTCGTGGACTTTTCCTGTTCAGGGCTGGCTTTGAATCTCCATCCTCAGATCTCAGCTAGGATGACAGGCGTGAGCCACTGGCACCTGGTACTTGTCTCTTCTTGGTTGTTTGGAGTATAAAGGAGTGAACTCAGGGCTTTGCACTTGCTGGGCAGGTGCTTTACCACTTGAGCCACATCCCAGCCCTTTTTGCTTTTATTCTTATTTGTCTGGGGTGGGGGGATTGGCCTCACACTACGATCCTTCCACTTATCTTTTCCACATACTTGGGATCACAGGTTGCACACTGCTGTGTCTGACTTGAGGTAGAGGTCTTCTGAGCTGGCCTCAACCCTCAATCCTCGTGATTTCCACCTCCTAAGTAGCCAAGATTACAGACATGAGCCACCACTCTCTATTCTGCCTTTCATCCAATCTCTCTCCCTCTGTGTTTCTGTTTTCCTCTCTGTCTCTCTGTCTCTCTCTCCTGCTCTACTGGACAGTAAATTCAAGGACATGAGCTTGACACACACACACACACACACACACACACACACACACCTTTCATTCTTGTTTTCAAGATCACATTTCCTGTCCTGGCCTTGAGTTCCCATCCCCCTGCCTTTGCCTCCCCAGTAGCCAGGGGTTACAGGTGTGCACTGCCATGCCCAGCCTTTCCACCCAGGATCATCACTACCTGGCATCTCTCCCTCATCCCTCCCTCTGGCTTCCACTTCCCTCTGTTCCATCCACAGCCTCAGGAAGGGCCTGAGGTGGAGGAGGAAGCATGGGAGGTGGGGCAGGAGGCCCCAGAATGATGGGGGGGGCAGGTGTCAGGGAGGGGGCTGACTGGCCTCTTGCCTCTGTTGCCAGGGCCTGAGCCCGGGCTGCTATGACACCTACAATGCGGACATCGACTGCCAGTGGATTGATATCACCGACGTGCAGCCAGGCAACTACATCCTCAAGGTGGGTCCTGGTCCCCAGCCTGGTCCGCCCCGCCATCACGCCAAAGCCCCCTGGGAGCAGGGGCTCCTGCCTGCAATCCCAGCTATTCCGGAGGCCAAGATCCCCTAAGTAACTTAGGGAGGACTGTGGTTTGAGGCCAGCCTAGACGAAGAAGCCATCCAGACCCCACCTTCATTAACAAGCCAAGCATGGCAGTACACATCTGTGGCCCCAGCTATGGCAAGGTGAAGGTAGGAGGATCATCGTTTGAGGGCAGTCCCCAGGCAAAACACTTAAAATCCTACTAGGGAAAAAATAGTCTGGAGGGGTGAGTTCAGTGGTAGAGCACCCATCCAACTAAGGTCCTGAGTGTTAAATCCAACCAAAAAATAAAAATAAAAAAAGGAGAAATGAAAAAGGAAAGGAAAAGGCCAGGCGTCAGTGGCTCACACCTGTCATCCTAGTTACTGATGAGGCTGAGAGCTGAGGATGGCGGTTCAAAGCCCACCTAGGAGCCATGATCCTCAGCTCTCAGCCAGCCCAGGCAGGAAAGTCCATGAGACTCTTAGCTCCAGTGAACCACCAGAAAACCGGAAGGGGCGCTGTGGCTCAAGTGGTAGAGCACCAACCTTGAGAGAAAGAGCTCAGGGACAGTGCCCAGGCCCTGAGTTCAAGCCCCAGGACCAACAAGAAAAGGAAAGAAAAAGAAAGAGGAGAAGAAACTGGGAAAAACACAGAGAAAGGAAGAAATGGAAAGAAATGAGAAAAAAAAAAACCCTCCACACAGCCAGCCTGGCATTTTGGTGTGGGTGACACCAGGCCACGTGGCCACAGCCTGCCCTGGGCACAGCCAACCTTGGCTCCATGACTGGGCTGTTTTACTTAAAGCTGTCACTCTGTCACTTGAGCCACGCCTCTTCCTGCTTTTCTGCTGGTTAATTGGAGAAAAGAGAGGTCTCTGGGATATGTCTGCCTAGGCTGGCCTCAAAACTCAATCCTCACATCTCAGCCTCCTGAGTAGCCAGGATTACAGGCGTGAACCGAGGCCACGTCTTTGTGGACTCTCCTCTCTGTGTCTGTCTCTTCTCACCACCTTCTTCCGGGTGACTTGGGGGAGCGATGCCCCCATCCCTGATAATGCTCCCTGTCTCTTGTCTCCCTCCTCCAGGTGCACGTGAACCCCAAGTACATTGTTTTGGAGTCTGACTTCACCAACAATGTGGTGAGGTGTAACATCCACTACACAGGCCGCTACGTTTCCACGACGAACTGTAAAATCGTGCAGTAAGTGGCAGCTCAGACTGGGCCTGGGTCACAGGCAGCACCGCTGGAAACGCCCAGCACTGGCACTTGGGGCCACATTGATGGCCACGCGTAGCTAGGGCGGGGCTCCGCGGGACCAGCCTGGTCAGCCAACCCCACGTCGGAGGCTGGTGGCAGGGTCACGGGGCTAGCGTAGATCTGGGACCCGGTGCTGCTAGTCTCTGAGACGTTTCCAGTGATGGGCTCCGCAATCCTAGTGCTGTGTGTTCATGTGCATGTACATGTATGCTTGATGTCAGTACTGGGGCTCGAACTCCAGGCCTGGACACTGCCCCTTGAGCTCTTTTGTTCAAGGCTAGAACTCTTACCACTTCGAACCGCAGCACCACTTCTGGTTTGCTGGTGGTTTATGGGAGATGAGAGTCTCATGGACTTTCCTGCCCTGAGCTGGCTTTGAACCTCCATCCTCAGCCTCCTGAGCAGCTAGGATGACAGGCTCGAGCCACAGAGCCTGGCTTGAGCAGCTTTTCTTAATGATAACCAAGTACCTGCCTCAGAGGCAAGAATGAGGCCTTGGCAGCTGAGGCCCCCAGGCCGCTTATCACGTGATCTGGCCCCAGAGTCCCCCATTACCAGTAATCTAGCTTGGAACCAGCCAGCCGCAGTCCCAAGGTTCTCCCCCTCATCCCAGCTACTCAGAAGGCTGAGGTCTGAGGATCTAAGTTCAAAGCCTGCCTCCTTCCTCTTCCCTCCCTTCCTTCCCATTGCTCTGTACATAAGTGCTTGCCAGGACTCGTGTTATTAGCGCGTCGCCATGACCTGGCCGCAGGCACGCACAGGAAGTGGGATGGAGGAACGGAGCGTTCCCAGAAAGGCCGAGGAACTGATGCCTGTGGCTTTCCAACCAGTTTCTGAAGAAAAAGAAAAATACAGATCCTTTGCGAACCCAAGCAGGCAGTAGCACCTCACTAATGGCTAGTAAACAGGCCTGGAATTTAGGGCAGGGGCACAGGCCTCTGGGATGTGTGTGGGGGGAGAGGGGCTTCTACCTATCCCTCCCTCCCACAGGCTGGGCATGGCGGTCCAGCCTGTAGCTCACCCTGACCATCTCTCTTTCTCTCTCTAGATCCTGAAGTGTACAGGGAAGACAGCCAGTGTCTTTTTCCGAAGCAGTCCCTGTACCCCATGAAGCCCCCCACCAAGGTGCCCAGCCCCCCCCAACCTACCCCAGGAGCAGCGGACTCCCGCCTCCCTGCCGGCCTCAGGGAGCGACTTGGGGACCAAGGCCACAGCAGTTCTGGTGGCAGGCCTTCCGTGCCTTTTACAGCACCGTCGGAGTGGTTGTTGGATTTTATAATTATATATATATATATATATATATGTATATGTATATGTATATGTATATATATTTGGCCATCCCACACAGCAAGAATGCCCAGGTCTGGACTGAATAAAACCAAGTTTTTCTAACATGCGGCTCTGCCTGCCCAGAGCTGAGCTGGCTGCAAGGGGCCGGGGGGGGGGGGCAGAGGGGCAGCCAGAGGCTTGGCCACCTCCCCCAGGTCTCATTCTATGGCTGGCTGTCAGGAAGGAAATGGGGGAGCAGAGGCCCAGTGTTGCCCAGCTCCTGGCCGGGCCCCAGAGCTGTGCTTTGTCTGGCAGGGAAAAGGATAGAGATGGAAAGAGAAGGAAATGGGAAGGAAAACCCCATCTCTGAGCCATCAGGCACACTACTGGGGCTGCAGCTGGCTTAGGGGAGCTGGGCTGTCACCCAGCTGAGTGGAGGCCAACATAGAGACCCAAGGTGAGGGCATGGGCCTCCCAGGCAGGGTCTGGGGGTCCCTGAAGGACACGGGGTACTGGTTGTCCTGGGCAGACAGGTGGGCTGGCAAAGTGGCCCGAGAGAGGACCCAGCCCTGACTGAAGTGTTCTTCACCATAGCTCGGCCTCCTCTGCCCAGTGTCCCAGATGCCCACGAGGTACCAGGCTGTGACCCCCCTCCCCCAGTCGCTCGCCCTGTCCAGTATGGCCCGTCCTGCGTCACCACGCCAGAACTCCCTGTGGGGCTTGTGGCACGCAGGCCTCTGATCATGAAGGTGTGACAGGGCTGGTCCTTAGGAAGGAATTCTCAGACTCCTAAAGGAACTCCTCGTCCCCTGGGCCAGGCCCACCAGGTCTGCAGAGAGAAGCACAAATCCACAAAGACAAAGCCTCCAGAGTGAAACCCCAGAGCCCAGAGCGCAGGTCCGCCCCTGCTTCATCCGTCTCTCCTGGCACCACAGTGTCCCCTGCTGGCCACAGGCTGTCACTGTAAGCCCTGTGTTACTGAGAGGCCTCCTACTGGGCACCTCCTCCTGTTCCTGGACAATGCAAGATACAAGGATACAAGGTGCCAGACACCAGTGGCTCACGCCTGTAATCCCAGCAACTCAGGAGGCTGAGATCTGAGGATTACTGTTCCAAGTCAGTCTAGCCCTGAGACTTTTTTTTTTTTTTTGGTCAGTCATGGGCTTGAACTCTGGGCCTGGGCGCTGTCCCTCAGCTCTTCAGCTCAAGGCTAGCGCTCTACCACTTGAGCCACAGCACCATTTCCTAGCCCTGAGACTCTTATCCCAAATGAACCACTAAAAGGCTGGAAGTGGATATGTGGCTCAAGTGGTAGAGCACCAGACATGAGTGAAAAAGCTAAGAGTGTGAGACCCCGAGGTGAAGACTCAGTAACACACACACAAGCGCGCACTCCCATACACGCACACACAGCAAGCTGGTTCTCCTCAGGGCTAGGCTCTGTCTGGGCCACAGGGCAGAGCCATGTCCCCGTGCTGTGAAGTCAAGGACTTTTCTGCCCAGGCTGGCCTCCAACCTTGAACCTCCACCAGCATCCAGCCATAGAGTATGTGTGCGTGCGTGCACACGCACATGCATACCCAGTACTGGGGCTTGAACGCACAGCTCGATGCTCCTATCTGGATTTTTTTTTTTTAACCCAAGGCCAACCCTCTTATCACTCGAGCTACTGCTCCATTTCCAGCTTTTTTCTGGTGGTTAATTGCAGATAAAAAGTCTGTAGGATTTGACTGCTGGGCTGACTTCAAGTCTCCATCCTCAGATCTTAGCCTCCTGAGCAGCTACAATTATAGGTCTGAGCCACCAGTGCCTGCACTTTGCCTTTATAACTATTAAAAAAAAATTAACTGGTGAATGGATTAATTCTGTATTAATAATGAACATAAACATCAACTAGCATAGTCTATTATCATTGTCCATTGTGGGGTTTTGTTGTTGTTTTTTGTCAGTCATGGGTCTTGAACCCTGGGCCTGGGTGCTATCCCTGAACTCTTCAGCTCAAGGCAAGCGCTCTACCACTTGACCCACAGCGCCACTTTCAGTTTTCTGGTGGTTCGTTAGAGGTAAGAGTCTCACGGATGTTTCTACTATGGCTGGCTTTGAATTGTGATCCTCAGATCTCAGCCTCCTGAGTATCTAGGATTATAGGCATGAGTCACCAGCCCCTAGGCCTGTGGTTTTTTAGGAAAAGTATTCCTCCCCTTCTCCCAGCCCACCTGTGCCTGAGCCCTCCCTGGTTGAAGCTTTAGCGACCTATGCTCCCTCCGCTGAGGGTTGAGCTCTTGAGCAGAGGAGAGGGCTCCACCTCTGAGATCTGGACCACCTCACCTGAGAATGGCCCTCCCTGCAGGGCAGAGGCTAAAGTACTGGCCAGGCCGGCCACAAGCCTAGCCTCCAGCCACACCAACACCCAGATACGTCTGTTTACCAGGAAGTGAGGTTGATTCCCACCCCTGTTCCCCAAAGGCCCCACAAAACCTCAGACAAAATGAGCAGGTTCAGAATCCCCAGAGTTGTGATGCAATCTCCCCGTGCAGGCGCAGTGGCAGCCTTGTTGACGGCCTGAGTGAGTGAATACCATGTGTAAGACCCAGGCTGGGGGTGGGTGGAGACAGGAAAGGAAGTCCTGGAACAGGGCAGGGCCCAATAGGTGGTCACACCCTCCAGAGTGACCCCGCAGACCTGAAGAAGGGGCCCCAACCCAGGGGGAGGACTGTAGGAGGGACCAGCCGGGGCTGGCTGGTTTGCGGTCACCACAGTGGGCAGGACACCCCTGCCTGTCACTTAGCTGATGGTGGTCGGCCCGGCTCTGGCTGGTAAACTGTACCCCAACTCCACCCTCACTGCTCACTTCACGTAGTATCTTGGGAGCTCTGCACCAGCCCAGGGTAGGCCTTGGCAGGGAAAGGGGGGTTGTCACCTCCTGCCCCCCAACCCCTGTCTGGTCTACCCAGTGCCCCCCAACCCAGGTCTCTGCGCTCAGTTCCAGTGTAAACCGACTTCACATTTATTTGCCCCTCCGGAGAGAAGCGTGGACCGCGAGTCTCGAGACGCAGCTCCATCAGGCATGCGGGGTGAGCTGGGGCCTGGCTGTGGGGTGCTGCAGGCTGGCTGTGCCCCGCCCTGCCCCGCCAGGCCAGCCTGACACATGCGCATTCCATCCACCCTGGGGCTTGGAGCCCAGGCCTCGGCTTTGTACAATCACACAGGCTTGGCCAGCGCGGTTTCTGTGACCTGGTTACATCTCCACGCTGGGTGGCCAGCTCAGGGACTGTCAGTGAGCTGAGCTGGACACAGGCAAAGGCCTACCCAGAGACCCGCTGGGCGCAATACCAAGTACAGAACAGCCTCCAGCATCTCCTGGCCTCCATCCATGGCCTCCTGGCTGGGCCTCCAAACTTCATCGCGCCTCAGCCCGCCCCAGTGCAAAGCAACACCTCCTCCAAGAAGCCCCACTGGCTTGACACAAGGTATCCGGCTGGATCGTCCTGGTGACAGCAAAGGCAGCTACTTGAGGGCCCTGAGGACAGCCTCCAGCTTCATGACCACAGCCAGGTCGCCCTTCACCTTCAGCCGCCCATTCATGTAGGCCCCCAGGGGCCGCAGCTCCCTGCTCAACAGCGCCCGCAGGTCCGCCTCCGCCATCTCCACCACCACGTCGGGGACACCATCGGGCACCCCACGTCCCACCCTGCCTCGCCCTGTGAGGAGAAAGAAAACAACGATAAAATCTGGGCTCTGGTGGCTCACGCCTGCCATCCCAGCTACTCAGGAGACTTGAGATCTGAGGATCGCAGTTCGAAGCCAGCCGGGGCAGGAAAGTCCGTGAGCCTCTACCTCCAATAAACCTGGGGGGGGGGGAGGGGAGGCGCACCTGTGGTGAGGTCCAGGAAGTAGGCGCTCTGGTTACCGCCTGGCAGGATGACGTTGAATTGGTAACAGGCCCCAACCTGGCTGACCAGGGCCTCGGACAGGAGGGGCTGCAGGGCGGTCAGCAGCCCCTCCGCCACGGGCTGCTCAGGGCCGGGTCCCACAGCACTGCAAGGGGCCGGTGCTTCCACTTCGCTCAGCATCTCCAAGGTGTCGGGGGTGGCTGCAGGGAGGCAGGGAGGCCAGAGCTCAGGGCTGAGGTCCTGATGGCAGAGGCCTCTAGGCCTCTGGTGGCCATTTCCTCAGGTTTTCCTTTCAGGCCTCTTACTCAAGCTTCTTCCTATGCTAGGACAGGGACCCCCCCCCTCCCCCCAAGTTTCCAGCCTTGTGTCCCTGCAGCTCCAGCCTGGGACGGCTGCCCACCCCGAGGCCGCCAAGGGTCTGGACACTGCACAGCCATGCGGATTGCACAAGGCTGCCTGACCAGGCCGGGATGTGGCTGGATGATCGTGAGGATCGAGGTCCACTGCCTCCTCCTCCCGGCTGCTCACCTGGCCGGGGCTGCAGGGCACCTGCCGCCCCCGGGCTCAGGGCTCCGCCCAGCAAGTGGAGAGCCAGCTGCTGGAGGGTGCTGTCGAGGCCGGGCCCGGCCGGGCCGTCCTGGGGCGGCTGCAGCACGGCCTCCACCACCAGCTCCACCCGGTCCACCTCCAGTCCCCAGGCCCGGGTCACGTCGTTGATCTCCAGCTGGAGAAAACCCGGGGGAGGGGACAGCGGGATGGGGGGGGCATGGGTTAGGTCAGTACAGCTCGAGATGGAGAGCCGAAGCGGGAGCATGCGCGGACTAGAGACAGGACGCGGTAGGCCACATGGAGCATGCGCAGACCAGAGACAGGGGGCGTAGGCGAGGCCCCCTGGGAGCATGCGCGGATGGAGATCAGGCGTAGGCGAGGCCCCTGGGAGCATGCGCAGACCCGAGACGAAGGCGCCCGCACGTGCCAAGACTCAGAGTCGAGAGCCTGGAAAGCCCGGAGCGGGGCTGCCCGCCTACCAGGAGCTGGTCGCTGATCTTGAGCCTCTCCATCTGGATCTCGGGCAGAGGCCGCCGGAGAAGAGCCTTGGTCATGGCGTTCTGGGCCGTCATGCGGGTGGCCGCGTTCAGGTCCTTCACGGCCAGCACCGACAGCACCGGGTCCCAGATGCGGAACTGGACGTCGGCCCCCACGGACAGCACGGCCCCGTCCTTGGAGGTCAGCTGTTGGGGCAGGAGGCCGGGAGGACGGGCCCGGGCCCCCCACTGCCCGCCCGCCTCCCCCAAAGCAAAGGAGGAGCCGGGCGTGGGGCCTCAGGCCTGTCATCCCAGCCCCGCGGGAGGCTGAGAGCTGAGCATCTCGGTTAGACAGGGCAGGTAAGTCTGTGAGACTCCAGTCTCCAGTGAACCACCCAAAAAAAAAGCTACAAGTGGAATGTGTGGCTCAGGTGGTAGAGCACCAGCCTCGAGCAAAAAAACCAAAAACCCTCAGGACTGGCTAAACAACAACAACAACAAAACTAGTGTCTAAGTATTAGCTGGGGTCTGGTGTGTGGAGCCTTCATCCTCAACTGCTTTCTCTTCTCCAAGGTGGCTGCTGGCAGGCCAAGGTGCTGGCACCTGTGCTCACTGGGCATAAGCTCTACCCTTCACCCCCCCCCCCCCCCCACAGCACCAGGTACCCCTCACCTTGCAAGGAGGGACGTTGAAGGCTCGGGTCCTCAGATCCACCCTCTGAGAGCAGTCGATGAAGGGCAGTAGTAAAACCATGCCAGGCCCCTGTGGGGGCCGGATCCGGCCCAGACGGAACACCACCATGCGCTCGTAGGTGGGTACAACCTGCCCCGCAGCAGCAAAGAGACCAGCTGCAGGTTGTGTGGCCCAGGCTGGCCAATGCCCTCTGCCAAGTCCTGCCCTTTCACCCCCTGGCCTAGTCCCCTGGGACACAGTCAGGAACCCTAGCCTGTTTTTAGATGAGAAAGGCTCAGAGAGGGACTCAAGTCACACTGCCTCTATGCAAATCAGGATTTGACTGTGGTTCTGGACACCTCCCAAGAGCCTGTGTCTCCATCGCTTCATCTCTGTGGCCTGAAGCTAGGGCAGGATGCGTGCCAGGACGCCGCCGTCTGCTCCTGCATTTGTCAGAGGAGAGGCTGGGCTGCTCTGACTGCACCTGAGCAAAGGGCCCTGCCAATTTCTACTCCCCGGAGCCCTTTATGAAGCCATTTTGTCCAAATTGAGTGATGAAGGGGCAGAAAGGCATCGTGACTGGGCCTGGGTCACACAGTACTGGTTTCAGTGGCATTTGAGAACTAAACTCTCGGGGGCACTTAAGGACTCCCCCTCCAGACACAGGCACCCAGAGGTTTCCTACAGAAGCTGAGGGAGGCCTTGGGCCTTGGTCCCCAGCAGCTCCAGCAGCTCCTCTGCACCGCCTCCTGCTTAAAACAAGGCCCGAATTCTAAGCAAGCTGGGTGTTACTTTGTTTTTAATTTCTAATTTGGTCTAACCCAAAGGGAGAATGAAATGGCAGTGAAATCAGAGTCCAGATCCCAGGAGTTTGAAAGACTCATTTCTCCTTACTAGCTCCCCAGGACAACATGGGACAAGTCTGGGCCTCAATTTGCTCATCTGAAAAATGGGTATGAGCAACCCTTCCCTTGTCCATGCTTAAGGGGTGTGACAATATTCAAGGGCAGGAGGAGGTAGAACCTGAGGCAATTCATTCCTCAAAGTCCTCACTGTGGTCCTATTTCTCCAGGGTGAGTAGTGCCAGCCTTACCTTCAGGGCAAACCAGCCGGAAATAGGGAAAGTGATCAAAAGCAGCAGAAAGCCCAGGAAACTGATGATGCCATGGCAGAGGCAGGAGGACCAGCTTTGGGGGGAGTCTGGGGGAGTCAAGAGAATGGAGGGAATCAGGGCACAGCCATTGCACCTGAAAAGCCAAGCGCTCCTTGAACTCAGTGCCTGGCACAGAGCATGCATGCTGCACAGAGCATGCTGCCCTGAACTGAATGCTGCCTGCGCAGCCCATTCCTTCTCTCCCAAGCCCCCCAGAAGTGTGCATCCCAGCGCTCCTTATGTCCCAGTCTGTGAAAGAGCATTAATTGCTCACTAATGGGAGCCACAGATGAGCTTTAATATATTCCCCACCGAAATGCTCTAAGAACTATCAAAAATATAAACTTTCAAGCCTGGTATAGTGGCATATGACTAATCCCAGCGCTTAGAAGGCTGAGGCAGGAAGAAGCTTGAGTTCAAGACCAATCTGGACTGCATAGCAAGACTCAGCTTCAAAAACATAGAGTGCTGGTTGCTGGTGGCTGACACCTGTAATCCTAGCAACTTAGTTACTTAGGAGGCTGAGATCTGAGGACTGAGGTTCAAAGCCAGCCAAGACAGGAAAGTCTGTGAAACTCTTCAGTTAATTACCAAAAAGCCAGAAGTAGAGCTATAACTCAAGTGGTAGAGCGCTAGCCTTGAGCAAAAAAGCTCAGGGACAGCACCCAGGCCGTGAGTTCAAAACCCAGAGGAAAAAAAAGTCAGAACCACATCTGTATTTCATTTTCACAAGCTGGGGCGACGTTGGGCTGGGAAGATTAAACTCATCCCAGTGGAAGGTCCAGATGCCTGGAAGAGGCCAGGATTGGAGGGGGGGAGAGAGGAGGTGCAGGGAGGGCAGAAGCAGCCTAGAATCTGGGCTGAATTTCCCTGCTCTCGTCTTAACCCTGGCCAGAAAGCAGCCAAAAAAACCTCCGTCCTGTCCTCCCTGAGGCCCAGGCTGCTTTGGCTTTCTATACCCTGGGGCCCCTAGCCTCCACTCCCAGCCTGGTCTGAACCCACTGAGGGCGTGGCCTCAGATGGCTGGACAGGGATGGCTGTCACTAGTTGGGGGCCTGGGGGCCGGGGTGAATGCAGATCCTAGAACTGCCAGGGCAGACTCCCGGAGCAGCTCAAAGCAGTGTCTTCTGTTGTTGTTGGGGCGTGGTGGTGATGGTAGAGGAGGCATGTGTGTGTGTCCTGGGGCTTGAACTCAGGGCCTGGGCGCTGTCCCTGCCTGAGCTTTTCCCCCTCAGTGCTGGCGCTTTACCACTTGAACCACAGCTCCACGTCCGGCTTTGTGCTGGTTCACCGGAGATGAGAGTCTCACAGACTGTCTTGCCTTGGCTGGCTTGGAACCGCGATCCTCGGACTCGGACCTCAGCCCGGGAGTAGCGGGTCTCCCCGCGGACGGAGCCGCGTGGCCCGGCGCCCACCCCGGGGAGGGGCCGGGGCCTCGGCTCGGCACATGCACCGGGGAACGGGAACCCGGGAGAGCCGCCGCCGGGCCCGGGAGGGCGGACCCGGGGCGCCCCGCCCCTCCACGCCCCCGGCCCGCACCCCGGTCCCCGGGCCGCGGCTCCGCCCGGGGCTCCGACCCGCCCCCCCCGGGGTCCGCCCCTCCGGGCGGCCACTCACCGGCCCCCGGGCCCGCGCCGCCCCGCTCGGGGTCCAGGCAGCCCTTCTGCGAGCCCAGAAAGCCGAAGCTGGATTGCGGGAAGCGGTCAAAGTCCCCGAGGGGCAGCGCCCGGTACCCGGCCCGGCCCAGCATCGCTCCGGACCGGGGCCCGCCCCGCGCCTGCGCCGGCCCCGCCCCGCGCCTGCGCCGGCCCCGCCCCGCGCCTGCGCCGGCCCCGCCCCGCGCCGGCCCCGCCCCGCGCCGCCCCGGCCCCGCCCCCGCGAAGGGCCCCGCCCCGCGCCTGCGCCGGCCCCGCCCCGCGCCTGCGCCGGCCCCGCCCCCGCGAAGGGCCACGCCCCCGCCGCCGCTTCCGGTTCACCCGCGCGTCGAGTGCCGAGCGGGAGCACCGCCGGCGTCCGCGCGTGCGCCGCTCCACAGCGCCGTTCGCGGCTGGAGGACCGCACTGCAGCCTGGCGCGGTCGTTCCTTGAGAAGGGGCGGGGAAGGTCAGAGGCGGAATGCTCTCCGTCATCAGCCCTCGCCGGGCGATGCGTGAGCTGCGTCTGCGCTCGCGGTTGCTGTAGGGCCTGGTGAGTGGTCCTGCCCAGCAAGCCGGGCCCGTGGGGGCCGATCTCCTGCCACAAAGGGCAAGGTGGTCCGCGAAGCTTTGCTGGTTAGTTGGACTTTTCCTGCCCGGGCTGGCTTTGAACCGCGATCTTCCGATCTCAGCCTCCCGAACAGCTAGGGTGACGGGCGCGAGTACTCACGCCCAGCGTTTGCGGTTTAGCGAACGGGGCCCAGCTCCTGTCCTCTTACCGGCTAGCCGGGTCTCTCCTCACACTCCGGACCCGCCCGGTGCCCAGGGCTCACGCCTGGCATCCTAGAAAGCAAAGATCAGAGGATCGTGGTTTGAAGCCGCCCGAGCAGGAAAGTCCATGAGATTCTTATCCTCCGAGAACCAGCAAAAAGCTGAAAGTGGAGGTGTGACTTGAGTGGGAGCGTGCCAGCTTTGAGTGGGAACGCTCAGGGACAGTGCCCACGCCCGGGACTGCACGCACATCCGTGCACACACACACATCACACGCATGTATCCACCGAGCACCCCCCACCGCGAGTCCCGGGTGAGCTCCTAGCAGAGGGGCCCGTTCCGCCCAGGCCCGCGCTGGGCGCGGATCTCCCCGGAGGGAGTGGGGGGATCTGAGGGTCCCCTGAAAAGCAGGCGTGCACGTGGTTCCCCTCTGTGTCCAGGTTTCCAGCTGGGGTGGGCACCAAGTTGTGCACGTGACCTGGATGCCCCACAGTGGGGCCCGGGGGACTGCCCCTGCAGCTGGCAGCAGCTGGCAGCCGCCTCCTCCTTTTGAACTCAGGACTGGGCGCCGTCCCTGAGCTCTCTCGCTCAAGGCTAGTGCTCTGACACCTGAGCCACAGCTCCCCTTCTAATGACAGTGTAACTGCACTCCTCGGGCCTCCGCTTCCCCGGGTGCGGGGTTTACGGTACTACCGCGCTTGGGCGGCTCTGCGGGCCGCTCGGCCCCGCCCCGCCCCCGTCGGGTGCACAGGCCCCGCCCCCAGGCTCCTATTGGAGGCGGGGCCTCCGGAAGTCCCCGCCCCCTCCGCCCTGGCTGGGCACCCGGGATCCGGATTCGGCGGCTCCCGCCCTCCACCCTCAATGGGGAATCGAAAACTGCGCTGGGCCTGGCCGAAGCCGCCCCCACGCCGAGGCCCCGCTCAGGCCCGCTCCGCCCCGGTTCGCTTCCTATTGAAGGCGGGGCTTCCGGAAGTCCCCGCCCCCACCTGCCCTTGATTGACACCCAGGGCCCAGACTCCGTTCCCGCTCTCCACTCGGATCCGGGAATCGAAACTGCGCGGAGCCATGCTCAAGTCGCCGCCACCCGCCTGGTCCCCGGACCGGGAGCCCGAGCCCGATCCCCAGCCCGAGCCGCCCGCCGGGCCTCACCCCGGGGCCTCGCCCGGAGGCCCCCAGCCCAGCCCCAGCCCCGCGGAGGTACGAATGGGGGAGAGGTGAGGGATCCTAGAGAACCAGGCCCAGCACCCGCGCAGGAGCCACACGCCTGAGATCAGAGGATCCGGGTCGAGATCAGTCTGGGAAGGAAAGTCGGTGAGAACCAGCCAGCAGAAGTGGAGCTGTGGCTCAAGTGGTAGAGCACCAGCTTCCAGTGGGAAAAGCTCAGGGACAGCGCCCAGGCCCTGAGTTCAAGACCCAGTACTGGCACAGGAAGAAGATTCATGTAGGGTGTCATCATCACCACCGTATGTTTCTTTAGAACTCGTCTCGATGCCTCTAGAAACTATTGCTTATAAGAAATAGCTCTTCTCTTGGGGCTGAGAATATGGCTCAGTGGTAGAGTGCTTGCCTAGCATGCATGAAGCCCCGGGTTCCATTCCTCACTACCACATACACAGCGCCAGAAGTGGTGCTGTGGCTCAAGTGGTAGAGCACTAGCCTTGAGCTAGGGGCTCAGGGACAGTGCCTGTGCCTTGAGTTCAAGTCCCAGGACTGAAAAAGAAAGAAAGGAATAGCTCTTCTCCCAGTCATAATCTTTCTGTCTGTGTAAAATTGGCTAGCTATTTCCAAAAAGTGGAGTCGCACAGTATTTCTCCTTTTGCATCTGCCTTATTTCACTGACCTTAATTGTCTTCCCACTTTTCTCTGTCTTCTTACCTATGTCAGGGGCTCCTGTTCCTTCCCTTCCCTTCCCTTCCCCTCCCCTCCCCTCCCCTCCCCTCCCCTCCCCTCCCCTCCCCTCCCCTCCCCTCCCCTCCCCTCCCTTCCCTTTCAGTTTCCTTCTCTCTCTCTCTCTCACTTTCTCTTTCTTTTTTCTTCCTTTCTTTTTTTTTTTTGTCAGTTGTGGGGCTTGAACTGAAGGGTCTAATGCTGTCCCGTAGCTCTTTTGTACCACTCCACCACTTTAAATCACAACTCCACTTCTTATTTTCTGGTGGTTAATTGGAGATGAGTCACAGATTTACCTGTCCTGGCTGGCTTTGAACTGTGATCCTCAGATCTCAGCCTCCAGACTAACAAGGAATACAGGTGTGTGAGCCACCAGCGCTCAATGATTCCTGTTCCTTTTTAAGGCTAACTAATATTCCCTTATAGGGAATATACTGTTTGTTAATGAGCATTTGGGTTATGTTGGCATTGTGACTAATACTGCGATGTATATTCGGGCACAAGTTTTGTTTGGGGGGGGTGTATGTCAAGGACTTAGAATTGTTGGGTACTATGGTAGTTTCTTTTTTCTTTAAAAATTTTTTAATTGTAAAGATACTGTACAGAGGGGTTACAGTTACATGAGTAAGGTAATGAGTATATTTGTTATGGAACACTGTTACCCCCCTCCTTTGTTTTCCCCTACCATCTCTTCCCTCCCCACCTCCCCACCCCCCCAAGTTGTAAAGTTCCTTTTCAACATAGTATCTTGTACATCTCATGGTTACAATGGGTCAACCTGTATCCTTGTTTCAGCATTTTGTTATTTCCCTTCCCCTCCCCAAATTAGAAAAATGTATATACAAGATACAGGGTACCAGAATCAAATACAGTGACAACAGGGGTTATCTATGGTAGTTTCTGTAAGTATCTCTCCTTAACAAGAACAATAGCAAAAAATCCCGAGCTAGTCATTTTTAAGAGGTTGGTTCTTAGTGTGTCTACCTTCCTGAGTTCCTGGAAGTCAGGGTGTATCCTCTGGGTGGGTTTCATTTTGTTTTTTTGATGCCAATACTGGGGCTTGAACTCGGGGCCTGGGTGCTGTCTCTGAACTCTGTCACTCAAGGCCAGAGCTCTATCACTTGAACCACAGTTTCACTTCTGAGATTTTTTTTTTTTGCTGGTTTATTGGAGATAAAAGTCTCGTGGACTTTCCTGCCTGGGTTGGCAGGAATCCTCAGATCTCAGCCTCTTGAGTAGCTGGGATTATAAGCGTGTGCTACAGCACCTGGTTCCATTCTCATTCTTAATACTGTGTCTGATGGGAATTGACTGCCTGAGTAAATGGGGCGCTGGGGAGCCAGGATTTTGCAGCATCCAATGCCCACTGGGTTAGAATTTGAGGTCCCAGGGGCTGGGAAGGTGGCTTAGTGGTTGAATGCATGCCTAGCACACATGAAGCCCTGGGTTCGATTCCTTAGTACCATATAAATAGAAAAAGCCGAAAGTGGCACTGTGGCTCAAGTGGTAGAGCAATAGCCTTGAACACAGAGAGGCTCAGTGTCCAGGCCCAGAGTTCAAGCCCCAGAACTGGCAAAATGAAAAAGGTTAGAATTTGAGGTCCCACCCCAGCCTTAGGGGCCAGATGGGTGGGCACTCAGGGGCGCACGTAGTTCAGATCTCCCCTCCCCCCTTCCATCCTCCAGCCAACCATGGAGGAGGAGTTCCGGTTCCTGCTCTGCCAGGGCTGCCACACCCTAGCCAAGTGCCCGAAGCTGTTGACTTGTTTGCACACGCTGTGTTCCGGCTGCCTGGAGGCCCACGGTCTGCAGTGTCCCACCTGCCAGGAGTCCCAACCCCGGGACCCGAAGGAGGAGGCCCTGGATAACGTGTTCTTCGAGAGCCTGCAGCGGCGTCTGAGCCTGTACCAGCAGATCGTGGAAGCACAGGCCCTGTGCACACGCTGCAAAGAGCCGGCCGTCTTCTGGTGCTTCGAGTGCGAACAGCTGCTCTGCGCCAAGTGTTTCGAGGCCCACCAGTGGTTTCTAAAGCACGAGGCCCGGCCCCTGACGGAGCTCCGCGACCAGACAGCCCGCGAGTTCCTAGACGGCACCCGCAAGACCAACAACATCTTCTGCTCCAACCCCAACCACCGCACCCCAGCGCTGACCAGGTGAGCGCCGGGCAGCGCAGCGCCGGGCTGGGACGGGAGACAAAGGTGTTATCACCAGCACAGCCACTTGGAGGGGGGCCAGGAGCTCCTGCCTGTGTACCCAGGGCTGGGCCTGGTCAGGATTGTCACTTCCTGTAGTGTGTGTGTGTGTGTCTGTGTCTGTGTGTCTGTGTGTCTGTCCGACCATCCGTTCATCCGTCAGTCCGTCCATCCGTCCGTCCTGGGGCTTGCACTCAGGCCCCTAAGTCTTTTTGCTCAAGGCTGGCACTCTACCAGTTGAGCCACAGCTCCACTTCCAGCATTTTTGGCAAGGGGGGGGTGTGTGCTGGTTCTTTGGAGATAAGAGTCTCATGGGACTTCCCTCCCGCCCTCCCCCAGGCTGGCTGTGTTGCACGGTAAAGCTCTGATGCAAATCCAGTCGAGAGAAAATAAGAGAAGCCCCATTTTGAGATGAGTCTTTATTAGAAAGCCGGCGTCTGCAGGTGGGCTTTGGTCACCTGCAGCCCCCCATCTCTCCCCCCCAAATTCTGCACCAAACTTTTAAGGACAAAAACCACATGTTTGGGTGGGAACAAAGCCCCAACCTAAAGGTACCAGGAGCAGGGCTTTTCTCTTTTTGAGTCTAGATAACATGATGCATTTGCATGTACTCTTAAAAAAAGACCTTGCTCTACTGAGCTAGACATCTGCAATTTAAAGGATGGTTTGTCTCACTTCTAGGTCTTTGAAGCTGGGTGGAAAGCCCCCATCACCCAGCTAGGCACCAGGGTGGCATCATCTAGACCTGGACTCCCTCCTTTATCTTTGACCCAGGATCTTCAGATCTCAGCCTCCCATGTAGCTGGCATGATAGGTGTGAGCCCCCGTGCCCACATTCCATTATAATTAATTCCTCTCTTTCTCTTTCTTCCTTCCTTTCTCTTTCTCCATCTTTCTTTCTTGTTTCCTTCCTTCCTTCCTTTCCCTCTTTCTTTCCTTCTTCCCTTCCTCCCTCCCTTCCTTTCTTCTTCTTTCTCTTTCTCTCTCTCTCTCTCACACTCTTTCTTTTCCTTCCTTCCTTTCTTTCTGTCTTTCTGTCTTTCCCAGCTCTAGGACTTGAACTCAGAACCTGGGCGCTGTCCCTGAGCTTCCTTTGCTCAAGTTTAGCAAGAGTCACAGCACCACTTCTGGCTTTTTCTGCTTATGTGGTACTGAGGAATCAAACCCAGGGCTTCATGAATTCAAGCACTTTACCACTAGGCCACATTCCCAGCCATATTATAATTTCTTTTCTTTTTTTTGTGGGTTGTAAGCCTGAACTCTGGGCCTGGGCACTGTCCCTCAGCTCTTTAGCTCAAGGTTAGCACTATACCACTTGAGCCACAGTGCCACTTCCGGCTTTTTCTGCTTTTGTGGTACTGAGAAATCGAACCCAGGGCCTCATGCATGCAAGGCAAGCACTCTACCACTGAGCCACCTTCCCAGACCCCTACTATAATTTCATAATGGTTATCATTAGCTTTCACTAACGTTTTTAATCTATGTTTATTAATGTTATTCAACTGTCTTCCAGAACTCGATCTTTATTTCTAGGGCTTTCTAGTTGATTAGTTTGGGTTTTCTGGGTAAACAATGATCTGAAAAGTAGGAGGTGTTTCTCTTTGGTGCTTCTATGTGACTCCTTTTTGTAGCTTTGTTTCATTGTGTGGATGGCATAGAATATTACACAGTAGTGCACAGAGAAGTCCAGTGTACTTTGCCTCTGCTCAGCCAGACAGCTTTTTATGTCTTCTTGTGAAGAAAGTTGGTTTCTTTTTCTTTTTAATTTGTGGGGATTTTTGTTGTTGTTGTTTTTGGCTGGTTGTGGGGCCTGAACTCTGGGCCTGGGTGCTGTCCCTCAGCTCTTCAGCTCAAGGCTAGCGCTCTACCACTTGAGCCACAGTACCACTTCTGGCTTTTTCTGTTTATGTGGTGCTGAGGAATCGAACCCAGGGCCTCATGCGTGCAAGGCAAGCACTCTACCACTGAGCCACCTTCCCAGCCCCTAATTTGTGATTTATTAAGAATCTTCTTGTTGCAATTACTTGGTGGTGGTGGTTTTTAACTGGAGAATAGGTGCTTGAGCCATACCTCCTTTTCCAGCTTTTTGATGGTTAATTAGTGTCTCAGGAATTTCTCATGAACCCAGATCCTCCTGATGCACTGAGCCATGGTCACAGGTGGCCATCGCTAGTTAGTGGAAGCGTCGCCACAATACAGGATCCAAGGAGGTGTGGGATTTGAGAGGATTCTTTCCTTCATGTAGATGAGGACTTTCCTCCTTAGCTGGAACCTCGTGAATTAGATGAACGAAAGGCCAGTCATCCAGAGGAACACAGTTCATTAGTCTGTGTTTTACCGTGCCACCCAAAGAAACTAGAGTGAATATGCAAAAGAGGTATTAGAGTGAGTCACTGTAGTCCCTGCTACTGAGGAGGCTTAAGATCTGAGGATCAAGGCTCAAAGCCAGCCAGGCAGGAAAGTCCGTGAGACAGTTCAAGTGCTAGGGCCCACACACTGTGCATGCATGCACGCGCACACACACACGTGCGCACGCGCGCATGCACACACACACGTGCGCACGCACACACACCCACACACACACACACACACACACACACACAGTCCCCTGGGCCTCTTACTGACACCATCTGCACAGCTATGTCCCCCCTGCAGTCCTGTTAATCACGTCTCACGTGTACTCAGGATGTCGCCAAGATTGTTTCCTGGCCCACTAAAAAGGCAGATGAGTCATGAGTTTGAGGCCAGCCTAGGCATGGTTTGAGACCATGACTCAAAATTAACTGAATAACCTGTACAATCTCATTTCCTGTATTGGGCAGCTACTGGTGCCCTTGTTGCTAGGCTGGTGCTCTACCATTTCAGCCATGCCTCCAGTCTTGCCTTTTGGGAGGTGAATTGCCGGTAGAGTTTAGTGAGTGTAAAACCAGGCTGGACTCAAAACTTTGATCCTCCAGATCGCAGCCTCCTGAGTAGACGGGAATACAGGCATGAGCCGCAGCGCCCAGCCTGGGGAGGGGATTTTTAATAATGCAAATTAATTTAATAATGCAGTTTTCTTTTTTGGTCGGTCATGGGGCTTGAACTCTGGGCTTGGACACTGTCCTTGAGCTCTTCGGCTCAAGGCTAAAGCTCTACCACTTGGGCCACAGCGCCACTTCCGGTTTTTTCTGTGTAGGCGGTACTGAGGAATCGAACCCGGGGCTTCATGCATGCCAGGCAAGCGCTCTACCACTGAGCCACCTTCCCAGCCCTAACAATGCAATTTTTAAAATGCAGCATCTACTGCCGGGGCTGCAGCAAGCCGCTGTGCTGCTCGTGCGCGCTCCTGGACGCCGGCCACAGCGACCTCAAATGCGACCTGGGCGCCGAAGTCCGGCAGCGCCAGGAGGAGCTGCGAGCCACGGCGCAGGCGCTGCAGGAGCGGGAGCACACCTTCGCTGACGCGCATGCGCAGGTGCGCGCGGCGCTGAGCCAGCTGGGCTGCGCACGCGCCGACACGGAGGAGCTGATCCGCGCAAGCGTGCGCCAGGCTGTGGCGCGCGTGCAGGCGCGGGAGCATGCGCTGCTCGAGGCCCTGGAGGCGCGCTTCCAGCTGGAGCGCACAAAACTGGCAGACCAGCTCCAGCGCCTGGACACCGTGCTGCAGCGCATGCGCACGGGCGGCGCGCTGGTGCAGCGCCTGGAGCTGTACGCCTCGGACCAGGAGGTGCTGGACATGCACAGCTTCCTGCAGGGCGCGCTCGACCGCCTGCGCCAAGAGGAGCCAGAAGGCCCCGGGGCGCCGCGGGACCCGGCGGAGCCCCGCAGCTTCGCAGAGATCGAGGTGCAGCTGCAGGATCTCGTCTCTTGCATCACTAGTAAGTACCCGGGCACACTCCCGTGGGCTGGCTTATGATTGATCTTAGATAAGCAGGAGGCAGAAATCAGGAGGATCCCCATTCGAGGCCAGCTGGGGCAAAAAGTGAGCAGACCCCATCTAAACCGGGAAAGCTGGGCATGGTGACACATGCCTGCCATCCCTACCAACATAGGATGAGGCCCAGGCTTCCCTCAGCCAAGAAATGCAATCAATACCTATTGAAAAATGACAAAAATGGAAAGGGCAAGAGAAAGGGCACTCGTATGGTAAGCAGGAGGCCCCGAGGTTCAGGCCCCAGTACTGGCAAAAAGAAAACAAAACAGGATTTTAAGCAAACTTTTTAGATTCTTTTAGGTTTTAAGTTCCATGGTACAGAATAAGGCAGAGGGGTGATATGAGTTAAATGCACCCAAATGTTAGTTTTGCTGACTTTGTGTGTTTTTTTTGCCAATCCTGGGGCTTGAACTCAGGGCCTGGGCACTGTTCCTGAGCCTATCTATGCTCAAGGCTAGCACTCTACCACTTGAGCCACAGTGCCACTTCTGGCTTTTTCTGTGTATGTGGTACTGGGGAATTGAACCCAGGGCTTCATGCATGCGAGGCAAGCACTCTACCACTGCGCCACCTTCCCAGCCCAGTTTTGCTGATTTCTGAGACACATGCTGCCAGGCGCTGGTACTCTCTACTGTAATCCCAGCTACTCAGGAGGCTGAGGTCTGAGGATCAAGGTTCAAAGCAACCAGGACAGAAAAATCCATGAAACTCTTTATCTCCATTTAACTAGCAAAAAGCCAGAAGTGGCATTGGGACTTGAATGATAGAGCACTAGCCTTGAGCAAATAAGCTAAGGGACAGCACCCAGGCTCTGAGTTCAAGTCCTAGTACCAGCACACACACAGTTTTGTTTTCTCTTTTCTTAAACTCTGGGGCCTGGGTGTTGCCCATAAGCTTCTTTTGCTCAAGGCTAGCACTTGAGCCACAGTGCCACTTCTGGCTTTTTCTGTGTATGTGGTACTGAGGAATCAAACCCAGGATTTCATGCATGTAAAGCAATTACTCTACCCACAAAGCCATCTTCCCAGCCCCACAAAGTTGTTGATCAAGAATTACTTTAAGGTTGGCCCCAGTTGGCCTTGCTGTTGGCAGAGAATAGAGAGGGATGCATTTGGGGTTTGGGGCCAAAGAAGTGATTCTCTAATGCCCCAACCCCTTCTCTACCTGGGTTGAAGCCTGATGCAATTCCAGAAGCTTCCTTCCAGCATCCAGTTTCTCCCTGGAGATGCCCAGAGGAGGATGTCCGGGAGCCCCTGCCTAGGCTGTGATATGTCCTCACCAGTGTCTCTTTTCTCTGCTTAGATGCTGTGCTGACCAGGGAAGCCAGCCCAGAGGCCTCCAGCATGCCTCAGAATTCTCTGGATGTGGAGCTGGTGAGGGGTTGGGGTGTGGAGGGGGGCAGGGTGCAGGCTGGGAGCCCTGAGTCCTTGGATCTGTAGGGAGAGAGGGCCAGCAGGTGGACTTGAAGGCATTGCAGTGGGGCTGGCACTGGACTCCTAAATGCCAACATAGCTTGTGTGGGTGCCTGAACTCAGGGCCTCACTCTCCTGCCTGACTTTGTTCACTCAAGGCTGGTGCTCTAACCATTCAAGCCCCACCTCGACTTCTGACTTTGGGCTAGTTAGCTGGAGATAAGAGTCCCATGGGTTTTCTTGCTCAAGCTAGCTTCCAAGTGCATTGCTCAGATCTCAGCCTCCTCAGTAGCTGAGATTACAGGCATGAGACACAGCACCCAGCAGGAACTATACTGCAACTTTGAAGTAGTCCAAGGAGCTGCTGTCCTGGACAGTGACCATATGGTTCCTGGAGGGATGTGTGCCACGCCAGATGTCGGACAGGTCTTGGGGAGTTGGCCATGTGGTCCATGAGCTGTCTCCTTGCCCTGACTGGACATACAAGAACTGAAGTGGAACTGGGGACCAGTAGCTCACACCTGTCATCCCATCTACTCAGGGGGCTGAGATCTGAAGATTGAGGTTTGGAGCTAGCCTGGGCAGGGACATTTGTGAGACCCTTATCTCCCATTAACTAGCCAAAAGTTGGAAGTGGAGCTTTGACTCCAGTGATAGAGCACCAGCCTTAAGTGCTCCAATACCAGCACCAAAAACAGAACAAGAAACCACACACACAGAAATGTTAACTGTATCCCTGGGTCCAAGGGAGGTGACATCCTGGTGGCTTGGAAAGGGCTGTTTATCCCCAGCGAGCTCTGAGGCAGCGATCTGGAGGCCTAACCGCGAGGCCTCAGATCTCTGGCCTGCTGCCTGGTCACTGCCTACCACTTGAGGCACAGCACCACTTCCGGCTTTTTCTGTTTCCATGGTGCTGAGGAATCGAACCCAGAGCTTCATTTACGCGAGGCAAGCGCTCTATCACCGAGCCACGTTCCCAGCCCTGGTCATTTGTAACTCTTGTTTCCCAACGTTACAGCCCAGAGAGGAGCAGAGGACAGAAACCCAGTCCCTCAGCCAGGCTGAGACCCAGCTTGTGGCTATGGAGCAGTCAGAGCCCAGCGCTCCCCCAGTACCCAGATACAACTTCTGCATGACAGGCCCATCCTTCAGGGAGGTGAGCCTCTCCCGGCCCTGCCTCAGCAGAGGCCCAGACTCTAGCCAGAGGTGGAGTCAGGATGAGAACCTGGGCTATCATCACCTGTCAAGGAGCTCTGAGCTCTCCCTCACCCTGGGCTGGACCTTCTAGAAGCTTCCCAGCCCAGCTGGGTGTTGAGCCACTCAGGGCCGTGCAGCCAGGACCAGTGTTGGGCGTTCCTGGTGGCCTGGGAGGGCTTCCTGCAGGAAGAGGCATGGTCTGTGGCAAGACAGGATGGAAAGAGCCAAGCCGGGGCCTCTGCTCACCCACCCTGACCTGGCTTTGGGGCTCCTCATGCAGGAAGGTTCCGGAATAAACCCCCCCAAGAAGAGGAAGTCCTGCTATACCCAGTGCCCCAAAATCATCAAGATGGAATCCGAGGATGAGAAGGAGGCAAGGCTGTCCGCGAGCTCCCCAGAATACCCCATACCCAGCACCTCCAGAGCAGTGCCACATCCCCACCTAGGTGCGGACGGCCCCCCCAGCCCGGAGAGGCCTCGCCTAGGACAAGAGATCCTTCTGCCCCAAAGCAATCATGTGACCAGCGACGATCCAGAGCCAGGTAGGGAGGGAGGCGGCAGGGCAGTGCCACACTTGAAGTCCTTTCCCTGGGCACTCTTGCCATGACCCCCACATGTCCCCCGCCCTCCCAGCACATTCCCAATTTAGGAATGTCCACACCCATTGCTTCCCCAACCTCTTCTGCAAAAGCCTGAGTATCTTGTTCGTTCTCCTGCAATATCTTTGAGAGGGAAGCAGTATTGGGATTTGAACTCCAGGCCTCCTGCTAAGTGGGTGCTCTACTACTTGAGCCATCCCACCAGTCCCCTTTTGCATGGGTTGTTTTCATGCCCAGGCTGGCCTGGACTTTGATCCTCCTTTTCATGCTTTTTAGCTGCTTCTGTTGAGATGGCTTCTGCCAGGGCTGGCCTTGGACCTCGATCCTTTCCACTCAGCCCCCTGAGTAGCTAGGATTACAGGTGTGAGCATCAGCGCTCAGCATGAGCTATATTTTCCTGACTCCACCACATAGAGAGACTTTGAGTACTTGGCTAGGAGTTAAAATGAACCAGGCTTGGGGAACGAGAGCTTTCCCTCCATCTGCTGGGCCCAGAGTCCTTCTGGAACCCAGAGCCTGCATACACACTGACTGGTGACAGCCCTGTGGCGGTCACTGATTAGAACGAGCCAGTAAGCTCCACTGGAATTGCAAAAGGTAGCTGGATGCTGGTGCTCACCCACTACTCAGGAAGCTGAGGTCTGGGGGATCTCCGTTCAAAGCCAGCCCGGGCAGGAAAAGTCCTTGAGACTCTTATCTCCAGTTAACCACCAAAAAGCCAGCATGGAGGTGCGGCTCAGATGGTAGGGCGCCATCCTTGAAGGAAAAAGCTAAGGGGCAGCGCCCAGGCCTCGAGTTCAAGCCCCAGTACCGGCGCGATCCGTGTGTGCGCGCGTGTATTGCTGTGTATGTGGCCGCTGCGCGCCGCCAGCCAGCAATGGCAGACATCCCAAGTCGCAGAGCGCAGTCGCCGCGCCGGGCCCCGGCGGAGCCGGCCGGGCAGGCCCCATGCGCTCTCGTCTCCGTTGCAGGCGAGCCTGTCGTGGTCATCAGCAGCTCGGACGACTCTGAGCCTGAGAACCTGGTGAGTGGCCCGGAAGTCCCGCCCCGGGCTCCCGCACTCGGGCCGGAAGTCCCGCCCAAAGCACCTCCCCCGTCACTCCTCGGTATTCCTCCCGGAAGTCCCGCCCGAGCCCGCCCCTCCCCTCCCGTCCCCTTCCCGGACCCCGCGAGCGCGGGTGGCCGTCAGTCCGTCAGTCGCGCCTCCTGCCGGGAGGACCTTCCCTAGAGGCGGGGAGAGCCCAGGCCGTCCCGAAGGGCGGCCTCCAAGGCCAGTCACACGCCGGGCCCGGCCGGGAGCCCTCCCGGGTCGTGATGCCATGTGTGTCCGTGTGTCCGTGTGTCCTGGGCTTGAACCCAGGGCCCGGTTGCCGTCCTGAGCCCTTTCGCCCAAGGCTAGAGCCCTACCACTCTGAGCCTCCCCGCCACGCCCGGTTTTCTGGTGCTTCATCGGAGATCAGAGTCTCACAGACTCTCCTGCCCAGGCTGGCTTTGAACCCACGATCCTCAGGATCTCCGCCTCCTGAGTAGCTAGGATGGCAGGCAGGAGCCACCCTGCCAGGCTGTCACAGGCGTCTCTGAAATGATGTGGTGGACTGCTTCCTTCCCAAAGCGAGCTCTGCTTTGCTCTGGTCTGTGCAAGGTCTTCCTCTCTGGCTTCCTCGCTTCCAGTCCTCTGAGAGCTCTGACAAGAGTCCTTTCCCAGCTAATGGCAGCCAGTGGGGGGTGGGCGAGGCGGTGGCATCAGGGCAGCTTCCCATGAGGGCCAGACGCCATGAAAGGAAGAACTTTGCAGCCACCCACAGTTGAGAGCTCACGGCTGGTGAGCTTCTGCCCTGGGAATGTGTTCCCATCGGCTGGGCAGGGGAAGGGACAGCTGAGCGGAGGACAGGCTTGGACGGGGCGGCCTGTGGTCCTTTCCAGCCCTCAGTCTGAGGCTCTGTATTGGAAAGTGCCTGGAGCCACCAGAAACCGCTGCCCCACAGGGAGCCTCCCACGCCTGCTGGGCTTCCCAGCTGCCCCAAGGCACCTGCTGCCCTCCAGCTTGGCATCCCTGCCATCCCGCTGAGCCAGCTACGGTCCCCAGTCCTGAGCCGCCCGGCCAGCCTGCCGATCGCCAGGAACATGCCACCACCCTCCAAGGGAGCAGCGCCCGCTCCCATAGGGCACCGAGAGCCGCTGGCCTGCACCACGTCCTCAGCCTGCCCAGACAGTGGTACTGTGCACCCCGGCCACCTTGCTCTCGCCCCCGGGCTCAGGCCGCCACCCTGGCCACCACAGGGCCTTCCAGATATCCTGGCGGCCAGCAGACGGTCCTCCGTCTGCCTTGCCAGGTGCACAGGACCCTGGCCTCCCTCAGGGCCTCCCCAAGGTTAAAACAATGGCTCAGCAACTTCTTTAATCTGAGTTCCCACTTGAATGCATCTCCCCCAGGGGTTCATCCCTGACTCTCCATAAGATTTCCTCCTGGGGCTTCACACGGAACCCCCAAGGAGAATTCCCCAATCCACGGCCCCCTCCCCGCTCTCCAGCCTCATCTCCCCCACCAGCCCAGCGTGGGGTCTCTCTTCACACAGGCTCCTGAACCCCCCGGTGCCATCACCCACCCACTCCAGCCCCCGTCCCTGAAGACGGCTCACAGCAGGCCTACATGAACTCTCTTATGTTTACTACGTTCTATGAGACCTGGTATGAGTCCCTGTACTCAGGGCCGGGTCCTCTCCCTTAGCATTTTCCCACAAGGCTGGTACTCTACTATTTGAGTCTCAGCTCCACTTCCAGCTTTATTTGGAGATCAAAGTCTCCCCACCAAGTCCCTGAATGCAGGCACCGCCACCCCCAACCCCTGGCCGATACGGCTGCATACACAATAAACTTGCTGAGTGAGTGATCACCTTTGCAGCCCTCATTCTATGGTCCTCAGATACCACCCCCACCCTGGCTGGGGGGGTCTTTCTTTTCTGGGTGCTTTTGCCTCCTTCCTACATTGGAACTGGGTCTCCCTTGGAGTACCACATGCCCTCCTCCATGTGGGAAGATCCAAACCCTCCCCATCTTCTGGATGCTCGAACCCCACCATCTGCTGGCTTTAAAATGCAGCTCTTGGGTGGCCTCCGCTCCCAGACTCCTCCGGCGTGGAACACTGGCATGAATATATACCTCCTAGATTCTTCTCTGTCAGTCCTGGAGCTTGAACTCAAGGCCTGGGTGCTTTTACTTGAGCCACACCTCCACTTTGGGCTTCTTTTTTCTTTTTCTTTTTTTTTTTACTGGCTCATTAGAGATAAGAGTCTCAGGAACTTTATCCTGCCCAGGCTGACCTCCAACCAAGATCCTCAGATCTCAGCCTCCTGAGTAGCTGGGATGACAGGCGTGAGCCACCCATGCCCAGGCAGCCCTCCCTGCCCACATATAGCTATATGTACATTGTGGAGAGTGGGGCTTAGATGGAGCTTGTTGGCTGACATACCATTTCCAGGGCAGGGAAGGACCTTGGCATGAGGTTCTGCTGTGTCACCAGAGCGCACTGGGGCTTGGCCAGAGATTGAACAAGGAAATAGTCCCAGAAGCTTTTTCACCTGTGAGAAGCTGGGGGGGGGGGGGGGCGGGAAGAGGGGGAAGGGGGTTGAGGCCACAGGTGTGAGGTGGAGGCTGAGGGTTGCTGAGGATCTCCCTGGCATGAGGATTGTGCTAAGAGGCCAGCAGAAGGCGGGAGGCCTGAGCGACTCCTCCGAGCAGCTGCTGTGTGAAGATCCACAGCAGAAGAGGGGTGCTCACCCACTTTTGTGATAGATGATCAGGGCCTGGTGGAATCACCAGGGAGCCCAGCCGAGGGGAGCCCAGGGCAGACACAGCAGTGGATCGGCAGGGGAGGGGCTGCAGCACTGGTGTGTGTTTATGCCTGGTACGGTAGCTCACGCCTGCCATCCCAACTACTCAGGCGGCCAAGAGCTGAGGATTGTGGTTTGAGGTCAACCTGGGCAGCTAAGTGCCCAAGACTCTCCAGTAAACCACGAGAAAACCAGAAGTGGAACTGTAGCTCAAGTGGTAGAGCACTAGCCTTGAGCCAAAGAGCTCAGTGACAGAGCCCAGGCCCCGAGTTCAAACCCCAGGACCGGCACATAGGCGTGTACACACACACCACACACAGATCACATCGGGATTACAGATAAGGCATCTTCCTCCTGTTCCCAGGATATGATGTTTCTTCTGCCCCAGAACCACCAGCCTCTGCCCCGGGCCTCCACAGACGTACATCTCGACCCCTTCCCCCAACTCCTCACACGCTTGTGTCAACACAAGTGTGCAGATTCACACCCTCATCCTTACACGTGTCCTGGGCACCCAGGTTCACTTGGCACCTGCACCCACGTGCCCTTCCGCTTCACCCGTGGCAGGTGCCACGCCCCGTCCACCCCCGCCCCCCCCCCCCCCTCCCCAGCGGCTCCCTTGCCGCTCCCCGTCCTGGGCCTCTGACGCGGGGCCTGTCGCTTTCTGTATTGCAGTCCTCCCACGAGCTAGATGGCAGCAGCGAGGCCCAGCTGGAGGGGCCCAGCACCATCCACACCCTGGACAGCCTCCACGCTGAGCCCCAGGTGGAAGACAGGCCCCTGATTTTCTTTGACCTGAAGATTGACGACAAAAGTGCGTGTTCCCTCTGCCTCGTGCTAACAGAATCTCTTGAGTCCCCCCAAAAAAGCCCAGGTTGGGTCACCTGTGAGGCCGGGGGTGGGGTGGGTAACCAGAGCAGGGTCTGGACGTGAGGGGGAAGGCTGTGGTCCCCATCCCCCTCTGCTTGGCCAGAAGCCCGAGACCCCCCCCACCCCCCACCGCACCCCCCAGCCTGCACTTGGTGTCGGGCCCAGTCGTTGCTCAGGACCTCAGGGGAAGGAGCCTGGAGCCAGTGTGCGTCTGTCTACATCCGCCTGGGCTGTGTTAGCTTGGTGATCCATAGGCTGCAAGTAGCAGGTGCCGAGTGGGGGAGTCAGGAAGACATTGGGTCCCCGCCGTGGGTGGAGGAGGTTGATAGAAGACAGGCAGGAGGGCTGGGAAGGTGGCTCGGTGGTAGAGCGCTTGCCTCGCATGCATGAGGCCCTGGGTTTGATTCCTCAGCACCACATAAGCAGAAAAGGCCAGAAGTGGCGCTGTGGTTCAAGTGGTAGAGCGCTCGCCTTGAGCTGAAGAGCTGAGGGACAGCACCCAGGCCCAGAGTTCAAGCCCCATGACCGACCAAAAAAAAAAAAGACAGGCAGGAGAAGCCTGAGTTTTGAGGGTTTGGCAAGATGGCAGGAGGGGCCCCTCCATCAGGCAAATGAGGTATTTAAAGGACAGCCTGACACCCCCCCCCCCTTTTTGGCAGGGAGTAAAGAGAGGAAGGTCAATCACAGAGTTTGAACTCAGGGCCTGGGCGCTGTCCCTGAGATCTTTTGCTCAAGGCTAGCACTCTACCACTTGAACCACAGCTCCACTTCCGGTTTGGGGATGGTTCATAGGAGATACGAGTCTCACAGACTTTCCTGTCCAGGCTGGCCTTGAACCATGGATCCTCACACCTCAGCCTCCTGAGTAGCTAGGATGACAGGCGTGAGCCACCAGCACCTGAGGCCGACCTCCGGGCTGACTCCTGTCCTATCAGAGCTGTGTGTTGGAGGCTGATGCTTAGTTCCTGCCAACAGCACCTCCCCTCCTATTGGAGAACCCAGAGATCTCCTTCCCCCAGGCTGGGAGGGGAGGGGGGCAGGAAGCTCACCCCATCTTTCTCTCCTGCCCAGCCCAGAAGATTAGCCAGCTGGCCGCAGTGAACCAGGACACCAAGTTCCGCGTGCTCATCCAGCCGCAGGGCGTGTTCAGCGTGCACACGAAGGCCGTGTCTTTGGAGGCCGGCCTCCTCCACTTCCTCCGCTTCCTCTGCTCCATGCAGCGCCCCATCTTGGCCTGCTACACACTGTGGGGGCCTGCCCTGCCCTGCTTCTTCCAGGCCCTGGAGGACATGAGCCAGCTGTGGGAGTTCCAGCAGGCCATCTCCGGCTTCCTGGCCGTTTTGCCCCTCATCGAGGAACGCGTGCCCGGCGCCGGCAGCTTCAAGCTCAAGAAACTAGCCAAGACCTACCTGGCCAGGAACTTGAGCGATCGCAGCGCCCTGGCTGCCGTGCTGGCCATGCGAGACCTGTGCCGCCTGCTGGAAATCTCGCCCGGCCCGCAGCTGATCCCTCACGTCTACCCCTTCAGTAACCTGCAGTGCTTTGCCTCCCTGCAGCCCCTGCTGCAGGCGGGGGTCCTGCCCACGGCCGACGCCCGTCTCCTGGCCCTCTCCAACGTCAGCTTCCAGGAGCTGCTGATTGCCCACCGTTACAATCCCAAGGGGGGCCTGAAGAGGTATGGCCGCTACCTGAACCCCCAGGCCTCCCCGGCCTCCCCCGACCCGCCTTCTCCCTCCCTGCACGCGCTCAACCTTTACCTGGATGGCCTGGTGGAGCGGGCAGCCCTGGCACCGGAAGAGGGCATCTCTGCGCCTCTCAATGTCTCCCAGTGGAGTTGAGAGGAAGACACGCTGGCTTAGGGTGTCTGGTGGTCCAAGGGGAGAATGGGGGTCGCTGAGCCAGGCCCCTAACTATCCCAGCATTGGGTCCTGGTCCCCCCCCCCCCCCCCACTCATTTGTCTTTTGGTGCCAAATTAGTTCCTTTTCTCTGGGATCCAGCGGACCTTCTTTAAAATATCCCACAGCAGCCGGGCGCTGGTGGCTCACGCCTGTCATCCTAGCTACTCAGGAGGCTGAGATCTGAGGGTCGTGGTTCAAAGCCAGCCCAGGCAGAAAAATCCGTGAGACTCTTATCTCCAAAAAAAAAAAAAAAAACCACCAGAGGTGGCGCTGTGGCTCAAGTGGTAGAGCGCTCGCCTTGAGCTGAAGAGCTGAGGGACAGCGCCCAGGCCCAGAGCTCAAGCCCCATAACTGATACAACAAAGTGGGGAAAAAAAATCCCACACCAAAAGCCATCCTACCCTCTGCACCCCCCAGAGGCCACCCAGACTTGAGGCCCTCCGAGGGACATCCCCAGCCCCCTGTCACTGTCCTCCAGTGACTGCCTGCCAGCCTCGAAGGAGACCCGACCACTCCAGCAGTACCATGGGTACTGGAAGTGCCTTCAACCCAGCTCCTCCGGCCTCCGCCCCCTCCCCCTTCTCACCGCCCCCCGCTGTCTGGCTTCTGAGCCAGGAGAATTCTTTCCCATCATCCTGGCTTTGCTCCCCCCCAGGGCCACCAGACCCCACTCAGCAGGGCCAAGCAGGGTTCTACCCACTTCTATAGGTAATACGGGTTACTGCTTGGGTCTAGGGGCTGCAGCTGTAAGTGTACCCCTCCAAGGGCAGCGATGGGCTGCGAAGGTGGCTCAGTGGTGGAGTGTTTGCCTAGCATGCATGAAGCCCTGGCTTCGATTCCTCAGCACCATAGACACAGAAAAGGCTGGAAGTGGTGCTGTGGCTCCAGTGCTAGCCTTGAGCAAAAGAAACTCAGGGACAGTGCCCAGGCCCTGAGTTCAAGCCCCAGGACTGGCCACCAACAAGGGGAGGAAATGGGAAAAGAGAAACAGTGAAGTTGGTACCCCCCACCCCCCTCCCAGTCCCTGAGCACGCGCATTCAGTGTGACAGGGATGGGGCCTCTCCTGGAGCTCAGCGGCTCAGGGATCCTGTCTGTCTCTGCCAGGCCAGGCTTCAGGCCCGTAGGCAGTGATAAATTTTCCCATGAGGCCTTTGGTCCTTTGACCTGGGACCAGCAGCAAGACAGAAGGGGCTCAGGACTGTCCACTCTGGATAGCAGGATAGACGTCCCCCGCCTGGCTTCCCATTCCTCCCCTCCTGGGGTGCTTCCCAGAGAGCCCAAGCCTCCAGCCTAGATGGCTGGTGGGTGGCCTCAGGCTTCACCCCAGCATGAGGTGTGCACCTGCAAACCCCCTCTGCTCTTTCCCACGTGCCTGGAGACCCGCTCACCACTCCACCGGAACTCATTTCCTCCCTCCGAGCGCCGGCGCTGACAGTGAACCCCGGGTGCCTTTAACATGAGATTGGCAAACTGGGCGCTCACACCTGTAATCCCAGCCACCCAGGAGGCTGAGATCCAAGCATCGAGGTTTGGGTAGAAAAGACTGTGAGACTCATCGCCGAGGAATCATGGAAACAACCAGAAGCGGAGCTGTGGCTCAAAGTGGTAGAGCCTGAGAGTGGAAAAAAAGCTCAGAGAGACAGCGCCTAGGCCCTGAGTTGAAGCCCCAGAAGTGGTACAAAAAAGAAATCGTCAGCTGTATGTGAAAGGACTTGTCTCAGATGCGGGGGGGAACCCCAGCAAGGTGGTCCTGGGGCTCCTTCCCCTATCTTGTCTTCAGCCCATTCCTGAGCTGGGAACAGCCGTGCCAGGCATCCAATGCAGGTGATGGGTGATTTTTGCTTTCATAGTAAGGGGTGGCCCACCTGTCACCACTGTCACAGCCTTTAATAAAGGCCTTGCATCACAAATCTCTGAAGAGTCACTGGGACGCTTCTTGCCTAAGGCCGTGAGTGAGCAGGCGTCTGGCGCAGCTGTGCGCGGGAGAAGGTGTCTTTGGGGCTGAGAATCCTGTCGTTACTCGGTAAGAGCCTCAAGAATCAACCCCTGTTTCGAGTAGGGAAACCCAGAGTTGGTTTTCCTGTGGGTTTCTTTAAACAGGAAGCCACCTGCAGAGAGAGAGACACAAACGGCAAGAATCCCCTCCAGTGAAACCAGCATGTTGGCAGAGCCTGGCATCCTAGCACATGGGAGGGAGAGGCAGGATCGTTTGAAGCCAGCCTGAACTACAGAACAAGGCCTTGATAAAAACCAAGCACACCCAGGTGCTGGTGTTTGCCGCCTGTCATCCTAGCTACTCAGGAGGCCGAGATCTGAGGATCCCAGTTCAGAGGCAGCCCAGGCAGGAAAGTGCATAAGACTTAGCTCCAATTAACCAACACAAAGCCCAAAGTAGAGGTGTGGATCAAGTGGTAGAGTGACAGCCTGGAGCAAGAAAGCAGAGGGAGCTGGGCGTCAGTGGCTCACGCCTGTCATCCTAGCTGCTCAGGAGGCTGAGATCTGAGGATCACGGCTCAAAGGCAGCCCAGGCAGGAAACTCCATGAGACTTTTATCTCCAAGAAACCACTTAGAAAACCGGAAGTGGCGCTGTGGCTCAAGTGGCAGAACACTGGCCTTGAGCTGAAGAGCTGAGGGACAGCGCCCAGGCCCTGAGTTCAAGCCCCACGACTGACAAAAAGCTGAGGGACAGCGCCCAGGCCCTGAGTTCCAGTCCCAGGGCCAACACACACACACACACACACACACACACACACACACACACACACACACACACACACACACACACACACACACACGCTACCTTAGCCCCAGCCCAAGCTGGCTCTTCCACCTGTACCACACCTAGCTGCTTCCCCTGTGCCCAGCCCAGCCCTTCTCTAACCCTGCATCCTGTACAATCCCATCCCAGCTTTCGCCCAGCTCCTGGACCCTCCTCTGACAGCCTTGTCTGCACCCCATGCCCCGCCTTCCTCACCTGGCTTCACTGACGACCATTCTTGAAACAGCATGGGGGAGTCCTGGTCCTGCTCTATGCCAGGGGAGGAACCGGGGCTGCTCCCAGACGCGGCCAGCAGAGGGCGCCGCAGCCCAGTGGTTTGATGCATGCGAGCCGCCAGGCCGGCCACATGGGGGCGCTGGGCCGCTGGCAGGGACAGACTCTTGGGCGACAGTTTTTAAATGTTAAATCTTTTATACTTACAAACTAGTAAACCTTTGGAGAATGGTTTTAAAAGGTGAGGCTTGAACTCTGGGCCTGGGCGCTGTCCCTCAGCTCTTCAGCTCAAGGCTAGCGCTCTACCACTTGAGCCACAGCGCCACTTCTGGTTTTCTGGTGCTGGTCCTGGGGTTTGAACTCAGGACCTGGCCATTGTCTCTGATTTTTTTTTTTTTTGCACTCAACACTGGTGCTCTACCACTTGAACCACACTTCTGCTTCTAGCTTTTGCCTGGTTATTGGAGATAAGAGTCACATAGGCTTTCTTGCCCAGGTTGGCTTCAAACCATGATCCCCAGATCTCTAGCTTTTGAATAGCTGGGATTACAGGTGGGAGCCACAGGGCCCAGGTTGGAGGGGGGACAGGTTTCTGACTGACAAGAGTTAATCTCCAGTTATGACGCTTTAAACAAGTGTTCTTAGAGGCCCTGACCCCTCTCTGTGGGTGGGGATGGGTGGGGACATCTGGAGAGAGGTAGGAAGAATGTGGGCCAGCTCCCGGGGGAACCACGCAGTCCCCTGCTCTAGCCTTGGTCCTGGGGCTTGGAACCAGGCCAGACCCTGAGCTGGGCTGGGCTGGAGCCACATCATTTGTTTTTGTAGGTTTCCTCTCCAGACCCCTTAACCCTGAAGGAAATAGATGTCTCTGAGAGAAAGTTCTAGAATTTTCATCAACTTCCCCTCCCCCCCACTTCCCTCTCATATACAGAAATAATGAAACAAGACAGTAACAGGAAGTTTGGAATTCTCTATCCGCCCTTATCCAATTCTCATGTTGTCATGTGTTGAGGGAAAAATCCCTTCATTCTTGGCTCCAGAAACTTCCTCCAACTCAGCCCCAAAGAATTCTCCAGGACACCAGCTGCTTGGATTATGCTAAACCTTATAAATGTCTTTCAACTTGCCAGCCAAGCAGATTAGAAAAGCTAGCTAGCAAACCACAGGATTTTTCCAACAAGCCAGCCAGACAGACAGAGAGACACACTGCCCTGAGACCTTAGGAAATCCAGTTGTTTTCCTAATTGTCTGAAAACAGAATCGAGGCCACAGGCCAAGCACCGAGGGTCTGGGAGGAAAATCTACAATGGGCTGAGCTGAGCGCTATGGCTCACGCCTGGCAACCTAGCTACTCAGGAGGCTGAGATCTGAAGCTCACAGTTCAAAGCCAGCCAGGGCAGGAAAGTCTGTGAGACTCTTCTCTCCAACGAACCACCAGCAAACTGGAAGTGGAGCTGTGGCTCAACATGGTAGAGTGTTAGCCTTGAGCAAAAGAGCTCAGAGACAGCATCCAGGCCCTGAGTCCAAGGACAGCACTCAAACCCTAAGTTCAAGTACAGGCACCAATCAAACAATTAACAAACTCTGACTCCCTACAGAAGACACAGACTGTCTCAGAATAGCCTTCTTTCCTTTCCTCCCCTCCCCAACCCTCCCCTCCCCTCTTCTGCTCTCTCCTGATTCCATTCCATCTTGGTGGCTTGGTCTACACCCCTCCATACGTCCATCTATCCCCCCAGGTCACCCCTGGGTGAGGGATTTATAGCAGCCCATCCCCTCCTCCCCACGGAGCAAGAGGGAGACAAGGCTCTGCATGAAGGTCATTCTCCCCAAGCACCCAGGCCCCAGCAGACTTGGCTGGGCAAATGGAGCTGGGGAGGAGCAAATAAATACATCAAGTGCGCAGCTGCGCCAGGAGATAAGAGCTGGGAGCAGAAGAGGCTGGCGTTCATCAAAGACGCCACGGAGGGTCCCCGAGCCCAGCCCCTTCCCCGCCGGGGGCCTGTGGGAGGTGATTTAAAGGGGGACACTGTGAGCTGGAGCCCCCAGTGCCCCAATATCTAATGCTGTGGTTCTGTGAGAATCAGCCTTACCCCGACTCCCCCAAATCAGGAGGAATGTGGAGAGGTTGGGCATTTATTTACTTATTCATTCATCTATTTGTTTATTCTACTACTTGAGTCACAGCTCACTCTCCAGGAGTGTGTGTGTGTGTGTGTGCGTGTTTGCCAGTCCTGAGGCTTGAACTCAGGGCCTGGGCCCTGTCCCTGAGCCTCTTTGTGCTCAAGACTAGCGCTCTACCACTTGAGCCACAGCACCACTTCTGGCTTTTTTCTGAGTAGTTTATTGGAGAAAAGAGTCTCATGGACTTTCCTGCCCGGGCTGGCTTCAATCGGCGATCCTCAGATCTCAGCCTCCTGAGTAGCTGAGAGGCATGAGCCACTGGTGTCCAGTGAGAAGTAGGTTTCATTTCTGAGTTCCTGAGATCTGGCAGAGGCTGCAGAGCTACCCGAAGTTCCTTCCTTGCTTGCTTTCTTCCTTTTTTTCTTTCCCCTCCTGCTTTTCTCTCTTTTTTCCCTTCCTAGTTTCTGCCAGGATGGTTCCTTAGTCATTCACTTGTGTGCAAAAGTCTATCTCATCTCCGCTTCTGGGAAATCATTTCCCAAAACAAATGAACCGCTGGGTGGGGCTGGAAGGTGGCTCAGTGGTAAGGTGCTTGCCTTGCAAGCATGAGGCCCTGGGTTCCATTCCTCAGCACCACATAAGCAGAAAAAGCTGGAAGTGGCGCTGTGGCTCAAAGTGGTAGAGCGCTAGCCTTGAGCTGAAGAACTGAGGGACAGCGCCCA